TGTCGTCCTTCATCTGGATGCTTGGGCCGTGGGAAAGAGTTTGTCCCTCAGTCATAGCCTATGGGGCAACTTAACCATGTGTGCAACCGGTGAAGGGCTCGAGGGGTTTCCCTCACAGGCCGAGCATGTCGCATCTGCCCCCCTCTCTCTACCTTCCCCCGTGGTGGCCTGCTTGCTCTTCGCCGCGCCTGTCACATATCATATCACCTAGTAGATCTGAAGGCTGCTTATCTGCCGTCACCAGCCTTCTTGTCACCTTCTCGAAGGGTAAAGCCCCCCAGACGAACAGAGCGTCTCCGGATGCGCCTAGTTGCTGAAGATAATTATGATAAGCTTAGTCTGTCTAAGTCGATATCCATGAGACTGGTGATATCTCTTGAGGGGCATGCCGTGACAGCATCTTTCCTCTGCCCGACCGCGATAACAACCTGCCAAGGAAGAAAGTGTGAGATGGTCCTTTGGCACCTCGACTGGTTTCGGCGCGTCTGGTCCCGGGGCTCTGCATTTGGTGGTTTGCGCGGGATCCTCCCCATTGAAACGATTTTTGAGGTCGCCCGTCACCTGATTGACTTTGGCTGCGCCATCAAGGCCAAAATGCAAACCAGCAAGCCACCCCCGAAAAGGTTGCGACAGGCAAGCTTTCTGGACTGGATACTCACTCATCGGTATCCCTGGGCTTTGTTCCCCCCTCACCCTTAACTTCACTCTCAACCCCTCCCCTTCTCAAGTTCTCCCGAGCACTCGTTTGATTGACCGGTGCGGGGCCTTTGAAGCACTCGTGTCACTGTCTATTTGAAATGTAGTTCGGTTCAAGGTTGCCTGCAAATCGAGACGGCATCTCTATGGTCAATCTTTGCAGACCGCTCATTAGGTGGCAAGACTCTGTCGGTCTGTCCAAGTCTCTAAGACTACAAACCCACAAACCCCCGCAGATATTCTAACTGGAGAAGAATGATCCCGAGCTGGCTGATCGGCCCTTCGTCATATTGTCGTCGTGCCGAGCTTCCTCAACGGTCTGTTGCTTCCGAACCCCAGGTCTCCACCGTTGCCGAAATGTTAGTGGGCGATGCGGTGTTGATTATCCGACCTACGGATACTTCTGTGAAGTTCAAAGTGACGAGCCAGACAAGCCGCATGTCGCCAGCGACATCCACATCCCGAGACGTCCCGTCGCGCGGTGTTGCAGACAAAACGTTCAGTGGATAGTTGTCACTCAAAACGTACCGGGAGCCCCATCTCTATTGGGGGCCACAGCACCCTAGTTGCCGACAGATGCGACAGGATGGGAAACCTTGGTGCTGGTTACGGAATAGAAAATTTGAGCTTCATCGTGTTCCCGGACTCTGGCTCCCAAGGGCTTGACGTAAGGCCATTCCGACCTTCTTGAGAGGGAATTCACGACCGACCGAGTCTCCGAAGAACCGGGGTCTACATTAGCAGCGCTCCGGTCTAAGGTATTTGACTTGTCGAAGGATTGTTGTTGAGGGGTAACATGGGAACATGAAGGGATTCCACTAGCAAAGCTTGCTCACCGAGCCATCCCTCTAATTCTGGGCTGCTCCAAACCATCCAGGACTTGGATGAGCCAGGCCTGGTGAGTGCTGATCCGGGTGAATGTTAACTTGGGGGATGTCGGCCACCACGCCCATTCATGCCCGCTGAACCTGTACCACGGTCTAAGGAGTACACATCCTGGGAGTAACGAGCGAGCCCAGCTCTGCACACCCTCAGAAAATGTCTTTTCCATGTACAGTAGCCTGGTGGCGGCTCTGCGAGTTCCAGACCTTCAGACAAATGATATTCATCTTTCATATTCCGTCACCTGACTTCGGCCAGCGATGCGCCGCATGTACGCAAGTTTCTTTGTTAAAGGAAGTGTCTGGTGCAACCCGATCCCACCGTAATTTGAGCTGGGCAGGCCTTGGTACCGAGCGCAGCGGGCATGGAGCCGTCGCCGCAAATGTTGCCATAATTCGGCCACCCTGTTGATTCTGTTATGCAAACATACCCCTAAAACAATCATCAACAGACAGAAACACGTGCCCAGAGTTCGCCCAAGCCTTTTGTATCTGTACTTCGTCCACTTCGGATTAATTAGTCCCTTAAGTTCAGGGCGAGTGTCAATCATGGTCCCCTAACAAGGATCGGTCTCCGGGAGGATTTAGGATTCTGACAAGCGCACGGTGTCTTGTCCAGCGATTACGGAGTACTGGCAGTGAGGAACGGTACAATTAACAAACGGGAATGCCAGGGGCTATTGCATTGTTGTCTCGTTGCTCCACAACGTCAACTGAAGGTTATTAATATTAATACAGTGTTTCCGTTTATGTATGCGTGCGGATAAAAGGTCTCGTTTGTGCGTTCATACTTCTGCCACTTCATGAGTACCTCAACATTGCGGCTGATGTTCTACCCTTGGAATGGCGCAGCAGCAGCTGAAGCATGGAGATCGGCAATCCGCCAGCAACGCAGTCGGTGGTAGTCGGCGAGGAAGATGACGTGTCGAACTCGGAAATTGAGCAATATGACCACCGCGTGCCTTTCAAGTTGACGCTCAGGCGGTCAGGAGGAGGCTCTGGCTGGCGGTGAGGCCGAAGACGCTTCTCACGGTGATGGGAAGAAAGTACCCGTATTGAATGCATGAATAGACCATCCGTATTAGAGCGGTGCAATTCTCATTGAAATGTCTCGGGAAAGTAATAACCGTACATAAGATACGTTTCAGCATAATGCACAAATGGCACCTTGCCTCCTTGCACCAACGTTTGGCCCCAAATGAACCAGCCGCCCAGCCAGATATTAACAATGGCTGCTCTGCCTCTATCCATCACCAGGCATCAAATGATTTGACAGACTACACTGATACAGGCAAGCCACTCCTTATCCCTGCCCAGCGAACAAATCTCCTCAAACTCTACGGGTCTAATTGAGTGTAGTATAGCCGGAACTTTTGCGTACCTACACAGTAGTCACATGAATCTGATCCAGGCATGCCAGGGCAACCGATACGAGTGGACTCAAACTGACAGCAATTCACCAGGGCTCGACCGCTCGACACTCGGAGACTCCCGCTCAACTTCGTTCTCATTTCATCTTCAACGCCCAAGCGTAGCTAATTCTGCTTCATAGAACCCCTCATCCTCGAGGCCCCGACCACTGCTCTTCGTCGCTGAACCGCCATGACCTCCTGTACCCCCGGTCATCAGCAACCGCTTTAGGGGCCTTGTCTGCCCTGAATTGATGTCTTGCAGCTGTCAGGAGGGTCCTGAATATTGCTAATGTGACTCAAACCCCCCGTTCGACCCGCTCAGAGCACCCTGTTCAATATGCTGATCCTGCCTGCTCTGCTAGGGGGCGCCGTAACGTCGAGGCCGCACCGAATGCAACGGGGACAAACAATGAGTTTCCTCGTTGCATTCGAGAAACGGTCTCCGCAGAGCGACTCGCAGGTGTCATTGCTCATGTGACGAGTTCCGGTCCAGGGTGCTACATATAGAGTTTGCACGTTTTGGGTGGATGTTTGGGCGTCAATTCCGCCACTTGTCTATGGATCCGGATATGTCCATTACCCCCGTCCTCCCTCCACTTCCCAGATTGGAGGGAGCTTTGGAAAAGGGCCGTACTGGGTCTTCCAGCCCTGCCAGACTGCTCTTGTCTTTAACACATCCGTAAAGAAATGCAATAGAGGGGCTGCCGGCTAAGGGCGCATGTATTCATACTTGCAAAGTATCCGTACAACCAAAATTTCGTGACCTTGCACAGTGCTTGAGAACAACGGACAAGGATCTACAGTGTATCAGTTTCAACCTCACTCTCGCCAGCTTGGACATTCAGGTTGCCTCACCGTCAATTAGTGAGTTTCAATACTTCTATGTAAGGAAAAGGTTGACAGGTCAGGGTCAATGCTTCCAATGCGTGGGCGGGCAGCTGTAACGGAATCCTATTATCGAGTCTCCGGCGTACATGCCTCGTAGCCGAAGAGTAAACTTCGCCCGGACGGCGAGCCGGACCGGCCGGCGCATCCAACCCCTAGAGTACGGGGCCGAAATGAAACAACATCCCGCTCCGCCAACGGCAGCGTGAATGCACAAGAACGAGACCAACAGCGTACTGATACTGGTTCCCACATGGATTGGCTCATGACCACAACTTGTTTCAACGTACATTATGTATTATCCATTACTTGGTCAATTTCTCACCGGCCAATCAATACAACTTCGAGTTGGGTCCGCTTCCTCACCAAATTTGCCTGTGCGTCTGAATTGCCGGTCATTCATGAGATGGGGAGACAGATTCCTCTCCAGATTGTTGTCTGTGGTTGGCGCTGAGTACTATTTTTGAACTGCAAACTCATCTTGGTTGCCACTCTCTATTCTAGCACCCCTACTGGTTAAGACATGCCTTCGTTATTAGATCAGCGAATTACACAAAGTTATGAGAATGGTTTGTTCGAAGCGAAGATGATACGGATCGTTCGTTCCCAACACATACAAGCTGATACAGCCCATCTGGCTGAGATAACAGCCACACAAAGGCGGAAATGGCATCACGAGATTGGCTGACCGGGCGCTTGCTTCTCGGTCACTTGGCGTTGAATACTGCCGTGATGCCAGTTGCGCTGTCTCCTGTTGGCTGTCTAGACGAGCAGGTTGCTAGGAGCCCGTGAAATCCATGCAGAATTCGGTCTCCAACATCACTTGATTCGATGCGTTTTGTGATAGCTGGCTTGTGCGACATGATAGGAGGTGCGTTTTGCAGGTGGTTCGCTGCAAGCCTCTGTCTGTTTTGCTCTAGTATGTCTGCAGGCTTGACAAGTCTGATGTGCAATCAAGGTTGCTGCATCTATCGTATGAACACACCGTCATGGTTTGTTGATATGAAAACACGCCTGCACACGCCTGCAAGGCGGACTATTGGTTAGCTCGATGCATGTTATAAATTATGTTCCGACGAGATCACGATGCTGTCATGATCCAGGGGGAACGGGAATTGTTGACGATCAAGAGGCACATGAAATTAGGGAATCTAACAAATCACCCATCTGAATCTGACAAAGATTCGGACCTTTGGCCGACTCCCCGATGTCACCTCGTTCCGCTGCGGTCATCGTCTTGATACAGTCATTGTCCCGCTCATCTCATGTAAGTGCCGCCAACCAACAACCAACACAGCAAGCACCCCAAAACCAACGATCAGGCATATCATTTTACAGCCATTAAAACGCAAAGATCCCTGCTTAGACCCCACAGTCTCCGTAATCCGTTGGAGCCTCCGTACATTTTCTCTTCACGGCCAAGCCGTCATATCTTCGTTTCCTCCAATGGTGGTTGAGCCAGTTCCCAGGACCCTGGGTCTTGAGTTGCCTGACACACACGAAGTTGTTGGTACTCGTCGCTTATTACAAGCCGGCCAGTAGATCTGCATCGGTGACAGATAACGGGCGTCTGGAGTCTCGGCGGCCGACGCTACCTCAATCGGGCTGCGAGGGGTCTCGAACATTCCCAGGCCATCTTCGGATTTATACGGTTCAACCAGATTTCTATCGTTGTCTTAATCAAGGGGCCCTACTTTGGCAGAGTGGCAGACCATGAGTAAGTGATGCTGCTTGCCGGAAACCCGGGCCAAGAACTCTTTATCAATGAGGATCGCGATCCTCCAAGTTATTCCCGAAATCACAATCTTTTTTTCGTTATTGGCGCGGCAGACTTCTTGACCGGTATTCCAGAAACGAGCCTGCCGTCCGAGAGGACTTGCTCACTTCTCCGCACTCCTGCGAGAATGAATGGGTACGCGGTGTCGCAAGCCAAACACGTCGTCATGAGGAAGATGCCCATGGGATTGACGAAGAAGCCATGGGCCTCTGGCCAGTACCACCAGAGCAGACCGGTTGAGCTAATCCAACCGGTGAGGGTGCCAAGTGCTCTACAGAACCTGTCGAACAAGGGATCAGCACAAGATGTCTGCTCATATGACCCGAAACCCCCTCTCACCGAATGCAACGGCTGCTTATCCTGACTGAGCAAACATGACCGTCCAAATACGACAGAATGTGAGGGACGATGAGAACGAGAACCGGGAAAGAGACCCCACACTTCGGAGCAACTCCAGCGGCACAGCGTTCGACCCATGGCCTGCGGAGAGCTCCTCTGAAGTGAAATTAATACGCGTCAAGATGACACGTTCGAGGATAGACGAGAAGAGAAAGCGGGTGTAAGGATATCACACACCGGTGGCAGGGAAGACGACGCAAACTCGGCACACAGTGAGATATTCTGACCCAACACGCCGGTTACCCTCGTCGCGTTTGGACGTTTTCTTACCCGGCCAGAGAAATCAATCCGCCCACCGATCGGATGAGGCAAAGACAGCGAAGGAGATTCAGACAACCGGAAAACACTCACCAGATCGTATAACTCGCGCCCCCAGAGTGACCCCTGACAAGCAACATGGCAAGACACCCCGTTCCAAGGGCGAACTGCGCTATACCAGCTGTCCAGAACGCGAGCTCCGTGCAATCGAAACCTTCCCGTCTGGCCCACCACTTGCCACTCTTGTCTCCGTACCCAGTACCGGGCGCCGACAGCCACCAGTCCGCAACGGCGTAGTTCGCTGCGCATCCAAGGGCTACCATGATCCCAAGGATAGCGCCAATGTTCTCCGCGACAAGCGGCGCGTGGTGCCACTCGTGTTTCGCGTTCTTGAGGGTCGTGTAGACGAGCGGTACGTCAAGGAGTAGCCAGACGAGGAAGCCGAGACGTTCGAGAGAGTGTTCGGCTACGCGGGCTGCGTAGATGAGCTCCCAGGAGAGGTTGAGGGCGAGAGCGAAGAGGGGCATGCCGTATGATTTCGTCCTGTGGGAGCGCATTGACATGAGCACGTAGCACATGTCCCAGAAGATGGCGCCTGTGATGAGAAGGGCGCCGGAGGCTGGCACGACCCACGAGGGGACGTGAGGAGGAGGCGTGTCTGTCAGGCCCATCTTGAAGGTGGTGGTCTACTCAGATACGCCGACTTGGGCGTCTTCGGAGTGATGGTGATCGTTGCAAATTGTGATGGGGGTTGTATTTGGGGAGATGTCAGGCCATCGTAAGCGATCAACAACTAGAGGCTACGGTTATGTCTGCATAAGCGCCAAGGATACTCTGTAAGCAGCATCGACGAGTACCATCATCCACTATTGAATTAACATCCAGAAAGGGAAACAATATGCTATTGTTACTTTTTCTTGGGATAGTCTAAAGATGACTCTAGGTCGGGAACCTTTCGTGCAGGTACATCGTTAAAGAGCGAACTTAAGAGACAAAACCGGGCTAACGCGTCCAAGACGCGTCCATGTTGACTCGATTCTATGCGAGAATTGACAGTCTTGTAGACTCCAACGACTCGAAAATGCATCTGCCACGTACAACCGCTCGGGAGGCGCACTTCAGCGCTCATCGACTTCGTGCTTAGTTCATGAGCACTGAAAGTTGCGAGTGGATCATCACCACATTCGCATCTGTAGTGTAGTGGTTATCATCCTTGCCTTCCATTCCACTTCGGAATAGCAAGGGACCCGGTTTCGATTACCGGCGGATGCATCACGCGGATGACTCTATTTTTTGTTTTTTCGATCAATTCAGCCAAAGAGAGAACCTGGTCAATTGACCTAGATTTCATATCAAATTCAATTGGCTTGATTTGTTGTCGGTGTGTTGAAGACCCCTCCGCCCAGAAGGGCCGTTTCGGGCCTGAATCAAAGCCAGAAGCAGGTTGACGTTGCGTTAAGAGGACTGGAAGTATCCATTGCAGAATGGATTCAAAGGCAAAGAGGTTGAAGGGATATACTAGATAGGCTTCGACTTGATATTCCGGCCAGAAGAAACCGAAAAGAGCCCGTCCAATAAGGGAGTCTCATCCGAATGCAAGGCCAAAGGCAAATACTCAGCTGATAATACTTGATTGAATTGTATGCATGCCACACACGTAAGCAAAACATCAACGCTCATGCAACTACGCAAATATAGGACAATCTACATTGAATCTCTGAAACACCATTTTCAATAGGACGTACCCTCTGTCACGATGTGGTTCGACATGCTGGCTAGACTTGAAGTTGCTAATAGTTAACGAAAGAGAGGAACCCGCATGTTGCTTGGGCTGCCAAGGATTATCACGTCGGCAAGACTGAATGAACTTTTCGAAAACGAATTGCAACAATGAATTCGGTGACTCTGCTCAAAGAATCTGTTGCTAAATGTCTGTTGTCGTGTCAATCGGTGAAGCTGTCACCGAAACCCACTGCCGGGGAGCATGATACCTACCCCTCACCCAGATTGTCGGCACTGCTTCCGAGATAACGGCTTTTACCCGAGTGGTAGCCCAATGATCGTCATCCAAACCACAAAACGGCATGTTCTGTCTACCGAATTGAACACATGGGAAAGGCAAGTCTATTTATCTCGACAGGATGTTCCCAAGAAGGCTATCGGCGCTTCAGTCACTCCGTTTCGTGCGCTGGTCGTCAACCTTTTCCCAAGGCTTGTCAGGTCTTAAGATCAACTCCGATCGTCTCCAAGAAACGATTCACCATACCTGCCAATGGGGAGCGGCTCATCGATATGGCAGGTAAGTCTTAGTCTTTCCGAAAAGGCTTCTCAAGTTGCTGACAACTCACCAGGGGCTCAAATGAAACTGGCATGGCCCGGCTGACTCTCTCGGATGAAGATGCCGCCGCGAGACGATGGTTCATAGAAGAGACGCAGAGGCTTGGCTGCGATGTCAAAGTTGATCAGATGGGCAACATATTTGCCAGGAAAAGAGGATCGCTGGGCTCCAAACTGCCCATGACCGCCATGGGCAGCCACTTAGATACCCAACCACAAGGCGGTAGATACGACGGTATACTGGGCGTCATTGCCGGTATCGAAGCACTTAGAACGATGAAAGAGAATGGCTATCACTCTAAATTCGATATTGGGGTTATCACTTGGACAAAGTACGCAAATCCAGCTCCCGCCCGCCGAGCCCCTCATGGTTTGAGATCCACTGACTTAGCCCCTTAGTGAAGAAGGCGCCAGGTTTCCTGGCACAACAGTCTCCTCCAAAGTCTGGGCAGGAGAAATACCAATACAAAGGGCTTGGGATCTGAGAGATGTTTCAGATCCCTCCATCACAATGAAGTCAGAACTCGAGAGACACGGATACCTAGGGAAAACCCCGTGTACGGCAACTCATGGTTACCCGCTAGGGGCGCACTTTGAACTACATATCGAACAAGGTCCTTTGTTGGAATCCAGAGGGAGAAAGATCGGAGTCGTCCGAGGCGTGCAAGCCTGCAGATGGCTCACTTTTACCGTAGTCGGCCGAAGTGCCCACTCGGGTACGACGCCTTATTCGGCAAGAAAAGATCCCCTGCTAGCTGCGGCGAAGATGATTGCGACCTCGAACGAGCTGGCCCAGAAATCCGGGGCTTTCGTGACCACAGGAGTCATCAAAGTTCCTCCGGGATCATCGACCAACGCAGTTGCTTCAAGGGCAACGTTCACAGTGGATATTCGCCATCCAGATGATAAGGCCATCTCTGAGGTCCAAGAACAATGCCTCGCCTTCTTCCAGGAGATCTCACGCGAGAATGGCGTGGAGCTGAGCTGGAGCATTGATGTGAATTCGCCAGCCACCACTTTCGATGAGGACTGCGTGTGGGCCGTCGAGACGGCGGCGAATGGTATCGTGGGCCACGACGGCTGGCTTCGCATGACGAGCGGAGCGACGCATGATAGTGTCAATACGAGCAAACACTGCCCGACTACTATGATCTTCGTACCTTGCAAAGATGGAGTCAGTCATCATCCAGAGGAGTATTGTAGCCCGGAGAATTGGTGAGTCATATCATTTTTCATAAGCTGGAGTTGCTCTGCTAATGACTTGCTTACTTCAGCGCCTTGGGAGCGCAGACTCTACTTGAATCTGTCATCATTTACGACAACATGAGACACGAAAACGTTCAATAACTGCCAGTGCTGAAATTCCACCCAGAATCTATTGCTCATATTCCTGCGAGTAACCTCACTTGAAAGTCTTGATAGTTCAGCGTTTACCAATCCACTCAATCCTAATCCCCTGGGGCATGCAGATGAGGTACAAATGAGTTGGGAAGTTTGAGACATCTTTAGCAATCCCGCGCGGAGATTTCGACATGCTGCGCGATCCCCCAGCTTCTACAGACTATGTTCAACCAAGTCCCATGTACTCTGCGTATAGAATCCTATGGTATTCATCACACTGACTCGTAATCCTTTTCAGTCAGTTCAGAGGAGGTTTCACTGTCTCTTTTTTAGAAAATGTGAGAACCTGTATAAGTAGCTTTCAGGCATATCGATCCTTCGGCCTTGAGCGCGACGCGATTTAAGAGGACGTTGTCAGTTGCTCATACAAAGCTACTCGCCAAACCGCTCTTACAGATGTCTCTGCCTAACGCGAGCTTCCGCGCGCGCGCGGAATATGAGGCATCTAGATCATTCATACTGGCATCCTAATCAAACTCAGCCATGATGCCTGCCCCGAGTCCATTCGCTCAACCCCGAATACACCGTAAATATATCCCCGTGCCTGAATGATAGACCCTGGTAATTACCTATAGCCACTTGTTAGTCTCCGCTAGTGCTTATCATCGTAGCCCTCAGAGTGATTGTCATTGACCGCTACACTGGTAGGCTTTTGTATGGAACCCGGTCAGATTTCATTTTACATGATGCATAAGTAACAGCCTTTGTCTTTACATCGTGTCTTCTTCTACTATTTGACAACTATTTGGAGACTGTCGAAGACCGGTGGCGGCTCTGACGTCAAAAGTATCATTATGAATCCAGCTGCAGTGAGTCATTACAGGCTGAAATGTAGCGGAGGCTTCTTCTAACTCATGATTAAAAGGCATCAACATAATCCACAAGATTGCATGAACCACACGGGCAAAAAGCCCGGACTCGAGCTGGTATTAGGCGGGCAAGCGAGACACATTACGAGTTACTCAGATGCCCATGTCGCTGGAAACCCTTATCATCAAATCTTTGATGAAGCCGGAAAAGAAGCAATTCTGACCACGGACTACACCCAAATCGCCAACATTGAGAATTCTCCAGAGTCGAAGCCACAACGAAGCAGGAGACGTCTTTGGCTTATATTAGCGGGTGGCGTAATACTTCTCATTGTGATCTTATCTGCCGTCCTTGGAGGAGTTTTCGCCAGCCAAGCAGCAGAAATCTCATCAGCGATTTAATCAGGGAGCGCATGGAATCATTGATCAAGCATCGAACAATAGTCTCATGTTTGCCACTCCTGGCAATAGTTCGAACGAACTTGCGCCTACTTCTACTCTATTTAGGCCTTCAGGTAAGTGGCAGATTAACAACTTTTGCTGTCTCAGCTGGGTGCTGAGGAGACTTGCAACTTCACAATAAAGCTAATTACATCTAACTTATTACTTACAGGCAGGTTTCACGGTCCCCACGATCTTAAAGAGCGGTTCATTCGCCGCCTTCTCAATAGCTCGACAATCCGATGTGTTGCAACGAGTAAACGTGTAAATCCTCTTCCTCGATGCATCTTCCGTCATCAGTGTTCTTCGAAACAGTGCGGTAGGCTGGCAAATGACCCAGCCGGCTGCTTTCAAAGCCGTCGATTCCGATTCAGGCATTGCATGCCTGACAATAGCAACGACGTATAGCGATCCCCATGAAAGCCAGGTCCTTCTTAGGCAATCGTTAAGCGAGACGAGATGTTACTTCAAAAGGAATGGTTTTGTGAGAGAAGTCATGCTGAACGGGGATGACTAGGTTGATCTTGGAGTTGTTCCGATACCATAGTTATTAAAGATGAGTTGGGATCGCTAGCGATATACATATGTTGTGTTATCTATGCCACATACCTATATTGTTGATCAAGTAACAGTCAAATCGTTGTTGCAACCGAGTCCGAGTGAGAACTTGGAAGGGAATATTTTCCAGAATATCATCATAATAATTTAAACCTAGTATTCAGGAACAGCTCAAACAACTCTTGGTCCTAAGGCAGTTCCGTACCCAAAAGTATACACCCTCTGTTTGTCTACGAGCAGTTCGCAATTCCCGATCCGATAGGAATACATCCGTTGCCAAGTGTCTTGCACGGGTGGCCCTATTGAATAAACAAGTCAACAATCAAGCCCATTTAAACCAGACAAAGAGGGCAAGAATCATGTCCAAAAGAGAAAGAGAGAACTATACCTGGCCACAAGTCAATTCCGTCTTCAGGTCGCCATCCCAAAGGCATGTACCGAGGTCACCTCCCTTAGGAAGTCTGCAGTTCTATACCCATCCGTCAGCTACAGTGCGTCGTCAGAGTCCGTCTGGGGTTAAACATACCCACCATCCCAGTACCGAGGGGAGGAAGCTGGCGAAAAGAACGGCGTGGAACTTCATTTTCGTTTTGAGTAATTACGTACAAGAACTTATTGCTGGAAGGGTATCTGCGATAGGATTTTCGGTGCAAGGTAGAGACTGACAGCAGTTGAGGGATACTCCAACAACTAGGCGCGCACAGAGAGAAGAAGGACCAGTTATAAGTACCTATCATCAACTATTATGGAGTAGTCCACAATGACGATCTTCAACGGCGGACAAGCCGCGTACCCGAAACCAGCTACAACAGGAAACTCTGTACTGAGTCGCGCGCAACGAGGCTGGGAGGGGGCACGTTCACGGTTCAGCGTGTTATTCAAACTCTAATTGACAAGTTCATCCTAGCAATAATTATCGGACGGGGCGAATACCCAATATACCATAAGCATAGGCAAATACAGCCCTGGAAGAAGTGCCGTCTGATCCCGCGAGACGCATGGCTTCAGGGCTCACCCCCATAGATTGCCAATTCCGGCGATTTGGGTTCAGCGGCGCTGAGAGTGATGTTCTACGAGCATTGTCCCGGCCTACGGAGCCTTCCAGCGTACAAATACTCGGATTCATCACTCAGTGGACTTATATTTCCGTCGGGGACTGGTTGCCGATACTATTTCTCCCTGCCTACGCCTCGCAACGCTACTGAGTAAAGGGCTGCTCTATGCACAGTGATGCTTGCGAGATGTGGCAGAGCAGGCCGTCTTGGAGAACGTGCGCCATTCACATCCCAGTCAGGGCGGCAACGAAATGAACGCGCCAGGAACTAGGACTAACTGACTCCGCCGGGTTTGCTCCAACTCTGGAAAAAGAGATTGCCAAGCCGCCAGTCGCTCTCTGCTATCTCTTGGCTTTCACGAAACAGAAGACCGGATGATACCACCCGACCAAGGCAATTATCATATGGAGTTTAGCAACGTTCAGGGTCGAGATGTACATGCATAGCGAAATGGAGGAACCTCTTGTCATGCTTTCTATTGAAGCCTAGAACGTAAAATGCATGCTCAGCAGCATACGCCCCATAATTCCTCTAGATGGAAGGCAACTCTCAGTAATGATCCATCCTCGACCAACCTAATCGTCATAATAGTCGTCGCCATATCCGTAGTCATCGCCGCCATGACCATCGTCGTAATCGTCACCATCGCCATGTCCGTCGTCAGCAAACCCGTCATCAAAAGCGTTACCAGCATAGTCATCGTCGTTTCGAACCTCGTCAGCGCCCGGCTCATCATCATAGACAACCTCGCCATACCCGGTGGAGTGCACAACCTGGTCCTCGTAGGCACCCGGCTCATCGTCGTGGGTGACTTCAGCATATCCGGTGGTGTGCACGATACCACGGTCCAAGTCGATGCCGGCATCATCAGCGCCCTGCATATCATCATAAACAACCTCGCCATACCCGGTGGTGTACACGAGATGATCATCGTCGCCATCGTCCCGATACTCCTCTGGACCCCTCTGAGTCTGCTCCTGGACCCCTTGCTCATCGTCTTCCTCCAGGCACAGTTGAGGCCCAGACGGCGGCACTCGATCAACCTAATCATCGTAGTAGTCGCCGCCCTCCTCGTAATCCCCCCTATCAGACCCTCGATCGCTATCATCACGACCTCGATAATGGTCCGAGGATCCAGACGAAGAACGACGCTCGTAATGGTGCTCGTGATGATCAGAGTCCGAATCGGAATCTGCGGAAATTGTAAGTTATCGCGTTCAGTAATCGTCCAGACTGTGGCCCGGAAAAGATGAGTGATTATTACCTAGAACATTGGCGATAAGCGCGCCTCCCAATGCACCCACCGCGAGGCCACCAGCCACGCCGAGGAACATGTTGCTGTTCCCGCTCTTCTTCTTTTTCTTCTTCTCTTCGCTGCCGTATCCCTGTTCATACTGCTGTCCATATTGCTGTTGAGGCTGTTGTCCGTAAGGTTGGCCGTACTGCTGAGGGGGCTGTTGACTGTACTGTTGAGGCTGTTCGTACCCATGGGACTGGCTCTGTCCGTATTGCTGTCCTGCATAGTACCCAGCTCCGGCTCCCGCAGCTGCCGCGGCGGCACCGCCCGCATAAGCTCCGTATCCAGGCTGTGGAGAGTGACCTCCGTACCCAGGTTGTGGAGAGTGTCCGCCATATCCCGGTTGAGGTGGTGGGCCTCCGTACCCGGGCTGTGGTGAATGCCCCCCATAGCCGGGTTGAGGCGAGTATCCCGGCTGTGGCGAGTGTCCGCCATATCGAGAGGCTTCCCCATACCCTCCATGGCCTGGTGGCGACATTGGCGGGGGAGACATGGCCGACGGTGGCGGAGGAGCCTCCCATTGGGTAGAGCCAGTTGCTTGATTGACATAGTACCATCGTCTGCTGCTGTCGTCAAATCGCTTGATCCATCCCTCTGGCAATCGCGGCGAAGGCGGTCTTCCGTAGCCTGGTGAAGGAGGCCTGCCATAACCGGGTGACGGGGGCCTTCCATAGCCCGGCGAGGGAGGTCGTCCATAGCTCTGCTGCTGTTGCTGCTGCTGGGGATACGGGCTAGATGATGTGGAATCACCATACCTACCGGGATGCGGAGTGGGATACTGCGGTGCGGTACCGTAAGCACCCGCGGCGGCGCTGGCAGCTACACCAGCAGCGACGGACGACATGGCACTTCCCTCGGAGACAGGATCAGAGTAGGCGGAACGCGTGGGGTCACTGGAGCCGAAGGCGGCGGGGTGCTCGCGCTTGTACTCCTCGGCGCCATTCTGCGGACCACTGGCGTAACCCGCGGGTGGTCTGCCATCGTAGCCTTGGCTATGGGAACCGTAGTTGCTGTATCCGTAGTCCTGGTGGCCTGTGATGTGTTGTCAGGATTTGCTGATGTGATGCTTTTGGAAATAAAGTAGGGTGGGGGTCTTGCGAAATTATGAGGGGCGAGAGAGCAGATTGAAGGGGGAGAGGTTGTCGCAAAGCACCTGGTTCCGCTCACTTACCTTGGTTGATAATCTCTGGGTCGTCGGGGATCTTGAAGTTGCCCAGCTGTGATGCCAGCTTTGCGACGTCAAAGTTGCCAAAGAGCGACATATTTGCTCACCCCAGGCTGTTGTCTTTGTTCTCTTTCTTTCGGTAGTGACAGTTGGGAGTTGGAAGGATGAGAGAGGATTGCACGTGGTTGGCGGGGGATTTGACGTGTCGTCGCGGGGTCAAGTGACCAAGGTCAGGAAGGTAAGGTGAGTTGGGCTGTAGGGGCAAAAAAGAAGAAAAAAAAAGAAAAGAAAATGGCTGAGGTAAGAAAATAAGGGGGCCTCCCGACGGGATTGAATCGAGCCTAATGGAAAGAAGGTGCGCGCCGTGTGATGGGCGATTCGTAATGGGATTCCTTGGGCTGCAGGTGCGACTGCACGTCAGATTGGCCTCCTGCCCGTTTGTTTCGGCAGATCGGAACGCAGATGGCGGGTATTTTTCTGGGCTTTTTCTGCTTGCTTCCAGGTTCTTTTCAGGTTCCATTTTGATGTTTTGATTGTCTCCACGTTTACTCGCTTTGCGTCGTCCGAACTTGGCACTCGGGACCACCCGTTCATCTCATAGGGCTGAAGACTGTGCGCTCACTAACTTATTCACTCACCCAGACGATGATCACTTGTGAAGTAGGTATTCAGATGGGAGGGATCCAAGGAAAGATGAACTAATTGAGAGGTGAATTGATGAGTTGAGTGGGTGGGGTTTGAGGAGTCGACTAGCCTCAGCAAAATCACTTCGCTTGAACCAGCCTGGGCAAACAAGAGGTCATCTTCATAGGATCAAGCCTCTGCATCAAGATGCTACATCGCTATACTCTGAGCCATGAAGAACAGAGACTACTTCACAGACCGACATGCATTACTCAGAGATGCGACACATTCTTAGACGACTCTTCCACACTCACTCACTCGCCTCCGCAGCAGCTGGTAGAGCAGGCTTTTGCCCATAGACCACATGCCTGCGCGTGCGAAACTAGTTAGCCAAATACGACGCTCAAATAATCCTCGGCTCTGAAAAAATGAAGAGAAGGAAGAACAAGGGAAGGGAAACAACTCACAAATCCAACAACGCATGAAACACTCCCGTCTTCAACTCCCTCCTCACCTCCGCAAGCTGCACCAACACCTCCTCCTTACTCCTCCCCAAAACACCACACAGCAACTTTAACGAGAACCCTTCCAGGCCCTCCAAAATCTGCGCCAAGTTCAGCAACCCCTGGTCCTTAAAGTGCCGGTGCCGCGCCCACGGCCCGATGGGCGTCTTGAACTTGTGGTGCGCCACGTGCTCGAACCCGCCGTGCCCGCGCACCCACCCCTCGAGTTTCGGTCCGGGCCGCGGGTCGCGCCCGATCTTGTCGAGCGTCTCGACAAAGGTCTGGTTCCATACGTAGGTTGCGTGTTCGGGTCTATAGCTGCCGTCGTCGGAGTAGTATTCTGTGCTCATGTCTTGGAACTCGGCCCAGCCTCCTGGGTTGAGGTTGCTGGAGGGGGAGGCAATCAGAATGAAGATGGGCCAAGTCAGAGGGAGTGAGTAGAGAGTTACGTACTCGTAAATCTTGGCAATCAGCTTCGGCCAGTCCTGGATGGAGGCGGCCATGTAGCGGCACATGATGAAGTCGTATTTCTTGACACCGACCCATTCGCTCTCGACATCGTCAATCTCGAATTTGACATTCGGGGGCACCCTATAGTCCAAAGAAGAAGAGTGAGCTTTAAAGATCGCAAGAGAGGGATTCATTCTAGGACTTGACGCACCACTCTGGTTGGATAGCACTCAAGTCATTCCCGATAACCTACCCATGTCTTAGCAAAGCATAACATCGCCAATCTCGCTCATCACGAACTCACCTCGGCATTCTCGAAAATGTCGCCAATCTCAACAGCCCCTACGGTCCCGCAAGCAATTAGCAATGCATGGCTTTGATGATCATAAGTTTGCGTGCGGAGACGTACAGATTCCAGTACCCGTGCCAATATCCAGGATACGATGGACCTTCTCCTTGGACAGCGGCGCCAGCCAGAGCTTGCTTCCAATCGCCCTCACCATCATGGCGTGGGCCATGTCGAGGCGCTCCATCTCGACCTCGTCATTTGGAAACGAGTAGGCTACATGAATACGTCAGCAGACTGAAAATGGTCTCCGTCTATTGCTATTGCGATGCTGAAGTAAAGAAGGACTCACAGCCCGGTCTGAATGCATGATAGCGACGGCCGTATTCTTCCGGATAGTCGATGACGCTGGATGATAGGGACGCAGTGTAACTCGAGCTGTCTCATTCATTTGTTATAAAAAGATTCTCAGGGCGAGATGGAGTAGTGGGAATCCCAGAAAGCCATTACATTCTATCATCGATCGAAGAGTCATTATCACTCTACAAGATGTTAGTAAACCATAGCTCAATCTACAAGAAGGGGAATCGAGCCGCAACGCACTGCAAACCCCTCATCAGCTTCGACGGGATCATCCTGCTGAGCGGGTTCAATTGCCACCGCCGGGACGACTCGCGATGGACTCGTCGGTGCCGGGTTGGGGGACGCGACACCGGCTGCGGGTGCGGTTGTGGGAGGCGGTGTGCCCGGTGCTTCAGCCATGATGTGCGCCGTTTCGTCTTACGGGTAGAAAATGAGTATATGTAAAACGTTGAAGATAATACTAATGGATCGCGCCGTTGTTAACAATTTCCCGTATTTCGCGGAATCACTATTCTAAGTAGTAAGAAGGGCAGATCAATCGAGACCGCGCGCAAGATCAATCAGACTGAACTTCCTCCGTCTGAAAGGTAAGGTACGGAAGCTCCAGTTTTTGTATCTGCCCGTTTCCAGGTCCCCCTTCCCTTCCATGTCTCTGCCAATGTGTGGCTTGCTGAGGGGTTCATCTTGCGGTAGGGAACCTTATCCGAACCTCGACCAAACGAAAAGCATGACAGGCCTAATTAGAACGCAGCCAGTCTTACAGACAGACAGACAGACCGCCCGGATGCAGAAGAGTCAAGCGTCCTCCCGCGGGATTCGCTAGCCTCCATCCCGTTTTCCCACCGCTCACATCGAGTTGCAGGGCATCCGCCGAGATAACCCAAGGAAGATCCGTACAAACCAGTCCAATGGAACTTGGGACGAGCATTGCCATGCATGGTCTGCGTTGCTACCCCTCTTTTTCCCCCTGCACAATGAATAAGGGTCTTGACCCGTTTGGGCCATGATCCGGGTTCCCGGTCGACGGTATCGCAGGCTAAACACTACGTTCGGAGTCGAGGGAACCGTTCGCGACAGAATGCTGTGTGTCAGTAGACAACCAAGAAAAAGGTGCGCACATCACAAACATATGGAACACGACCTATTTCTAGTTCGTCATCATCATTCATAATAATAAAAGTCCCTTCCGCCTCTGTCCGCAACGAAGCAATAGGGTATAGAACAAAAATCGAACAAGAATCGAAACACTCGCCTCGCCGGGCGGCCATGATGCAAACAAAGGTCAAAAAAAGACCAACAAAAAATATCAAACAATTCCAAACGCCCATAGCCATGCTTTTTCTTTTGAAATCCCCCATGCGATGCGAATGCCGTTCGTTCCTCCCCCCATCAATGCAATTCCTCCATCCATAATTCCTTCCTTCAAACAGCGAAGCTAACTGTCTTCACTCGGCGAATCTTTACTTCTTTACCGTACGAGCGCTGCGCTTGGCAGGAGTACCGTTGGCACTCAGGCCCAGTTCCTTCTTTGCCGCGGCAGTGGGCTTCTTCACAGTCTTCGACACCTTCGCACCCTCCGTCTTGGGGGCAGTAGCCAACTTGGACTGGCTTGCTTTGGTCGCCTTGGCTGCGGCCGCTTTGGCAGGCGCGGTCTTGGACGTCGCAGCCTTCGTCGTCGCAACCTTCGTCGTCGCAGCCTTGGAGGTCGAAGCTTTGGCGGTTGAAGCCTTGGTCGTAGCGATCTTGCTCGTGGAAGTTCTGGCCTTTCTCACCTTTCCGACCTGCTTCTCCTCGTCGGGACTGAGCTCAGCAGAGCTGGAGCTTGCCTCGTCAGAGTCGATTGGAGCCGTAGACGGGTCTTCGGACTGGCTTCTAGCCAACTGCGCTGCCCACTGAACACTCTTATTGTTCTTCTTAGCAGCAGCAGCGGCCGCCCGAGTTTCTATCTTGGGCGGCGCAGTCTTGATCGCCTCGAGCATTTCCTCTGCAGAAATCGCATCTCCCTTATTGTTGCGGGTATTCTGGCGAGTCAAAGCCGCAAGGTCCTTCTCTCCAGCTCTAATGTTACTCATTCCCTTGTTTCTGACCGGGATTTTGGTAACTGCCGGAGCCTCCCCACGCGCGACGGCAAGCTGACGTCTGGTGCGCACATTCGTTACGGGAGCAACTTCATCCTCATCGGCGTACTTGTCGCTGGGCTTGCCTGTGGCCTTCTTCGCATCCGGAATGTCGGCCTTGGCTCTGCGCTGGCGCTTCGGCGGCTGCGGCTTCTCTGGCGAAGCCTCTCGTTCGTCAACTTCATCAACCTTGCGCTTGGCTTTCTTGGGGCTCGGGCTGTTAACATCGAGAGATCCAAGAGGCTGGCGTCCGGTCGACACAGCTGGAGATGCCCTTCTCGCGGAACGAGAACGATCTGCCGATGACGTGATGGAGAACGCCGGTGTATCGGCCCAGATGCTTTGATTGCGCTCTGGAGTTGCAGCCATGAGGATGGGAGCGGATGCAAGAGGGTCAGGCGAAGAGTGTGCAGCAACAGGTTCAACCACTGGAGTGGGAGAAAGAACCACGGGTTCGGCGGGCTCGACGGGCTCGGCGAGAGTAGCCATAGCAGCTTTTCTAGCGTTGTGTTTGGTCACAAACTCCCTAAGTAAGACCATAGAATCGTCGTCTTCCTCAACCGGGGAGGGCGCCCGTGAAGGCACATGGGCCACCTCCTCTTCCTCCGCTTCGACCTTGGCATCCTCTGCTGTCTCCTTCTCATCATCTGCCTCGGTGTTTAGGCGAATAGGCGATAACGCGGTAGCGGTGGCCGGCCCGGTGGCAGAGTCAACAGCGTTGACAAGCTCTTCGACGGGTTCTTGCTCTTGGGCGAAGAGGGCAGCATGTTCGTCCGAAACCTTAAATCGGACAATCAGACGGCCTCCTTCCCTGCTGACAATGACCTTTCCATCCATGTTCGTCTTCTTGGCCTCCTCAAAAACGCGAGCAAGAGATGCGAGCGCCTGGATCGGGGATCCAGAGTGGTCCTGGAAGGAGCCAAAGATGTCCGGGTTCTCTCTTGCGTCGACAACGACAGGCGAAGGCGACGGCGACGGGGTTCTGTCTGGGGTAGCTTGGGCAGCCGCCGCAGATGCTGAATCAACCTCGAGGGGATTCTGCACCGCGTGGAGCTCAACCGACGAATCGGGAGCACCCACCAGCGACGCGGATGCTGGATCTTGAAGATCCTGCACCGCATGAAGCTGGGCAGAGCCGGCAGCAGGGAGAGATGCTCGGCGGAGAGGGGCGGAAAAGGAAAGGCGACGCGCAGCAGGCAATGACTTGCGCTTCTTGAAGGGTGAAGTCTCGCTGCGGTTCTTGAAGAAGACCATTGGACTCGCGACTTCGACGGCAGCGGGCTCGTCCTCGTGTTCAACCTCAGTTGCCTCGTGGTCCGTCTCAGTGACCTCGAGAGTCGATACAAATGAGGGCATTGTAAAGGTGAAGCCAGGTCGAATGGGGGACGACAAAGGTGAAGGTGACCTTTCTTCCACAACTGATTGGAGTGTAGCAAGTTTGGCCTCCAGATTGGCAGCGCCTCTAGCGAGCCTGGTCTTTCGGCTTGAGCTGGAGTGGTGTGTCGCCGTCGACGGGAAGTGGGGGAGCTTGGCGGTTGGGCTTTGAGGTTCCTCCTCTTCTTCAATGACTGAGAAGTCAGACTCTCCAAAGATAGCAATGGGCTGCCTAACGTTACGATGCTTGGGCTGCTCGCGACCGTGAACTCTATTGGACTCGCGAATGGCAGTCTCGAGCACCCAGTCGAAGCTCAGCTCTGGCATCGGGAACGCAAGAAGAGGCGCCATGATGGTGTGAGTCAGCAGGCCATTGTTATAGGCTCGCTTCTTCTCACCGTCATAGTTCCTCTTCCCACAGGTCGGCACGATGGGCTCGCCGTACTTCTCCACCTCCTCGTGGTATTGGCGGCGCTGTTCGTGAACAGAGGGGCCGGTGGGGAGCGCCTTGAGGTCGTTGCGCAGGACGCGGCGAGCTTCGATCATGTTAATCACGCCGCTTTCGTCCACGTCCTCAAGCCAGTACGGCTCTGAGTCGTCCTCTGGCGTGGGCTCGGCCACCCTCTGCCTCTTGCGAGGGCAGAGGGCGTACGCCAGACCGCCCTTCGTGGCAATATGCCTGAAGCTGGCGGCGGCCTCGAGCTCTTCCATGGCGAGGGACTCGGCGACCTCTCTTGCGATGGCCTTCTCAAACACCATGCCCCTGGGCTTCCGTTGCTTTTTGCGGGGAATACGGGCTCGTTGCCGGGCGAAGCTGGGCACTGGGGCGAGCGCAGACGTGATATCAAAGTCGGCGTAGGTCTCGGGGTTGAAAGCGCCGCTGTGAAGGAGCAAGTCAGTGAGGTGGCATAAATACATCGGAAACGGGACATACGTACGAGAACTCCTTGGCGGTCTCCGAAAGTTCGATGGTGGCGAACGTGTACGGCTGCTTAGACTTCTGAGGCGACGGGGCGAAGTCAGAAACCATGGTGATATCGGCCATGGTGATGTCGAGCTTTGAAGGGGACTCGAACCCGCCAGCCTCCTCTACATCTCTTGAGGGCGACCGGCCGGACCTCCTGCTTGTATGAGACTCCTCCTCCTCCTCCTCCTCCTCATGTCCCTCCTCCTCTGCCGCGGACTCGGCCTGCTGTTGATTCGGATCGGAATCGCTGCGAGGGGACCGGTCGTTGGAGACGAGGGATGCGGTCGGAGAGGTAATCGACATGACTGAGTAGTCGGAGACGGCAGGCTTCGAAGGACTCGACTTTGGAGAGAGATTGCGAGCGAGCTTTGGAGTCGACGCAGTCAAGGATTGGAAACTGGCGTCGGCAAACGACACCTTCTTCGGGGATGGGGTCTTGGTCGGGGCATCCAACGACATTGTCGTTGACAGTCTCGTAGCGCCGGCCTTCAGTCTCGGGGTCTCAGCTGTGCTGAACTTCTTGACTGGCGAAGCAAGAGACATTGGGGCGAATCTTGCAGGCTGTGTTGTGGCGGCGGAAACGGGCGCGGCGCCTCCCTTGGTTGGCGTGGTGAAGTCGAAGTTAGAGAAGGCCATATCGACATTAGCGGTATGGTCCTGGGTGGGCTCAAGGTTCGAGAAACAGGCCGGCGCCCTCTTAGGGCTGGCGGTGCGGTCGCGGGAGGAGCGCGCGGTAGGGGAGGGTGTGAGGTTGCCCGAGGGCGGGTTGAAGGTTAACTTTGGAAAATTCATCGCGTATCCGTGTAGTGGCGGCGACTACGAGACATTGACCAGATGACCGAATGACGAGGTTAAAGTGTGTTGGAGGGATCTAGCGCGGGAGCTATGGCTTCAATGCGACGCGGCGCGGAGAAGGCTCTCGGACGTGATCGTGGGAAAAGTGGCCGTGGAGGCGCGATGCGATTTGGGGGCCGAAAAAAGAAGATAAACAAAGCGCGACTGCGCAGGGGGGAAGGAATATGGGATGCAGAACAACCACCGGATTGAATAGCCAGAAAACGGCTCAAAAGAATCCGATCAACGATTGTAGTGCAGTGTTGGTTGTGTCGTGATTGTTAGAGTACGATACCTTGAATTGGGTGAGGTATCGGCTTGTGTCGCGATTGGGTTGTGGTTCCTGGGCGCGGGAATTGGAGGATGGATTGGGGAAAGAAGGAAAAAGGTTCAAGGTACTTCCAGGTTTCTAAATCGAGAACCGGGAAGGGGGAGTAGGAGGGCAGATATTGCGCAGGAAGGGGACCATTAAGTGAAAATCGGTGTGGTGGGCTGGCAACGGGCAACGCAGAAAGGGACGCTTTCGAGGTCGCCCTTTGTTTACATTCGAGACAAGGCAGCCAATCGGGAGCTCCCGAGGCCCTCACACACCTGGAGTGCCGCTTGCAGTTGAGCTCTGGGGGGCATCCCAGGCGCGCGCTGTGCACGGTGGCAGGCTGTCCGCTACCGTGTCTTACCCCACCATCCAGACGCCACACCGCGATTTTGGCCAATCAGCAAGCTTACAAGGGATTGACGAGGCTGAAGACACGTGATTGGCGAAAAAAGTTCCTGGGGGCTCCGCATCAAAGCTTTCGCGATGGCGTCCATTTGTGAGGCATTGGGAGGCTTTCCTGGTAGAGGTGTATGACGACGGACGCAAAGATCCACCACTCGACAACCGAATCCGACGATCCGACGATAGGCGTATAGCTTGAACAAGGAGCCGACGACATAATCGAGCCGTCGACATACGCACACATTGCCCATCATGCCGCAAAAACCGATGCGCCTGCCGCCTGTCAAGGTCCTTCGTGTTCGTAACCCCAACGGCAAGGTAGAGCAGCCTTGCATGCAGGTCATGACCTCAGTTCTTGGTAAGTCTACCTACCATGGTTTCTCGTCAATTCCTCCCTTTTGAATCTTCTTCTGTCTTAATGGGATTGCCTTGCCCAGTCACTAGATGAGCCCCCCCCCCCCTACCTCGGACGATAACGCAGTGTTTTCATCATACCCCTTGCGCATCATGGACTAACACTCATTCTCCCACAGCATGCTGGGCCTCGGCAGGCTACAACACCTCTGGCTGCGCCGCCCTCGAGAACGCCCTGCGCGGCTGCATGGACCAGCCCAAGAAGCCCAAGGAGCCTTCGTCCACCGTCAACTACCACCTCGGCCGTATGTACGACAAGATGATACCCCACTCCAAGGGCAAGTAAAGCAGTCGCGCGGGAGGAGACAGAGCTCATAGACCGAGCTTGTTGCAAATATGGAGGGCGACCACTTGGAGATGATGCCCCTCTCAAAATGGCATGCTCCATGGAGAGACCGCGAGGTATCCCGAGGGGGAGCGGCGCCACGTTCACGAGAGTCGAAACGACCGGGGCAAAAGTAGAGGCAACAGCAGAGGGTGACTCGGTTGGTTGCGGCTGTGCCATCCGTCTGAAAGTGGTGAGCCGAGCACAGCTAGGGGCATATGAGATGTACAACCATGCTATTACACACGGAATTAGGCGTTCAAGAGGATCGATGTTGTATACTATGTACCATATACGGCGGATGAGAGAATACTCGCTACCATCACATTTCAATTGCTTCAGACTTTTCCTCATCTGTGGTCTGATCTGACGATCTGATGAAAGGACGGTCTTCGGCCATCCTTACTTCATCTCGCCAAGCAGAACTAACTAAACGACCAGCAGTAGAATATAACTTGAGCTGATAGATGGCCGGAGCAGATTTTCTTCGGATTTCCTAATCCTCGTTCCCGATTTGAGGTGCATATATCCACGTCCCGTGGATCTCTCAAACGAGGTGATTCTCGCCAGAGACCCCGGAGGGCATCACACGTAGGAAACTGGTAAGGAAAGATATTGAATTTTCATCTTCCCTAAGAACCTGCCGTTCCCATCTGATTACCTGCACGTCTATAGCAGCAGCTAGAACACGTACAGCGAGGGCCTTGATACCATTATTCAAAGTTTGCTTGCGTTGATATTATGAGTATGATATCACAGCCTCAGTTTCGACACCAGTATTTTGCCAAAGTATCTCGATCTGGAGGACTCTTTGGCGAGGATACATGGAGTAGGCGCTATAGCCATGAGGCTGGTGTCCACTCCGGATCTAGCTCCTTTCTCAATGTCGTTGCTTGACAAAGTGAAGACTTTGACTAGTCCATTTCATAGATGAGAAACCATTCATGCTACATGTGCAACCAAGCCCTTAATGAGCTAGTGTCAACAATTAATACATAATCCCAATTGTTGAATCAGCCCTGCTCAGCTTTCTTCTTGCCATACACCAAGTCAGCTACGTCCCAGAAACAACTTTGGGGGTGTTATTGATACGTCTGCTTGCCTCTCCAGGTCGGCGAAGGAAGGTCAGGTGGCCAGAAGCCGTCGACGACCAACATTCTATTAAATCGGTTTTGCGGAAGGCGGAATGGGAGGAGAGGAGACCCAACGAAATTCCCTCCGAGCCACCACCATAAATGAGGTCACATAGGGCTTTAGTGAAGAAATAACAAAAAGAATATTCTCCATGAGGAATCGAACAAAAAGCCCAAGCGTCAGATTAATGGTCAAGGGGACTGAGATCCACACTCGGGTCTTCCCCCGTGAACCCCTCGACCAACTTCACCCGAATCACTTGAGTGAGAGGAATGAAGGAGGAAGAAGTCAAATACTCTTCAACCTCCTCAGAATCCCCTGGATGACTGAGGGGCGCGTTGTCCGGTTCCCGGGAGGGGCGGTCAGTATTCACCTTCCTTCCTTGTATTGTTCTCTGGTATTGGGAATATATTGGACTCATTGCGTACAGTGCGCGGCTACTAAAGGATCAATTTCTTGCGCACCATTTTGCTTGATTCTCTATGGAGAGTACAATTCTTGTTTTCTTGTATGTTCACATTACCTACAAGATCTCTGACGTACATACAGGTTAGAGTATTTGGGTCAAGTCTTCTTCGCTCTCGTCACCACACAATATCTAAAAACAAAAGTATGGATCACGTGTTGACTGTAATCAGCCACGACGCGAATGAGGGAAGAAGATTGCGGAAATTTTCTGTTTGCATCATCTCAAGCAGATAGTGCAAGGGTTAAATGGCGGCTTGATTAATTTATTCAGTCCCGGACCACCACCATCATAAGGTACTCAGCAATACTCAGATAGCCTCACAAAATAGTTTCCATCCAGCCAATTGCCCCGTACATGATTCAGGTAGTCCGCAGACAGCAGAATAAGACCGTCTCCTTTAACGTTGTGAACGCCAATATCTTGTCTCTACCATAGTCATTCCTATTATTCCGAACCGAGGTCTGGTCACATTGCCTTCCGTCTGATAAAGGAGCCAGATTCCTAACAAGTCCTAGTAGAAAAAAAAAGAGAAAACAATCAGGTCAAGAATCAACAATCACCACGGATGTAGCTAGATAGCTCTTCTCCAGAATCGCTGAAGTGAGCGTATCACAGAAGGTGGGACCATCATCTTTCATGAAGTTTATCAAATCACACCTCGAAAGTTGCACATCCCACAGGTTCAGAGACACCTAAAACAAGACCAGTACGCAGACATCACCAAGCAAGGGGGGCACTAGACATCGTCATGAAGGAACAGTAACGCCTGTTCATTGTTCGGATAACCTTTAGCTAGCGCCAGTCAAGAACCCGATCCCCAAACTGTAGCGAGCGAGATGGCAGGCATTCTTATCCCTCCTGGCTATGGCAGCTCAATTGCCTCCACCCAGCCAAACCTCACCCTACCATTTAGGGTAAAAGCCAGATATCAAAATTCGTCCCCCATCATCAAAGTCGTAACGATCGAAAGTAGGGTTAGTCATCCCAGAGAGAGTAATCAACCAAGAGAAGAAGTGAAAGTGAAATGATGGGAGCCTCAGGTGTATCTGCCCCTGTAGAGTTCGATATCGAAAACCCACGGAGAGGCATGTGCAAGTAACACCCAGAGTCACCCATGGTAGTTTGATGTCAAGTATTTCCAAAAGAAGAAAAGGAGCGATCCGGTGAATGAGTGCCGCTGGATACGACCCCTGCTTGGGGGCCGTGTCCTTGAGGGGCAAGGAAATGTGTGGTCATGATGGAACCGTCTAAATTCTCGTGCGCGAGTCCGAATGCTTCCTAACCGCAAATGGCTGCCGCTACGAGCCCCGTAATGTATGGTAGTCTAGCAGCCACGTGCTTGTTGATGCGATGCTGAGAGGTATAAAAATGAGGTGAAACAATCTGCTCCGGACGCCATGTATGCAAAGAAATGCCCCCCGGTGGGTATATGGGTATGATGCGCCTGGGAATATCCCAAAGTTCTCCCAAAAGACCTACTTCGACATAGAAATGAGGCGCTCAGGCCGTTTCCCCAACGCAGAACAGCTCGATCTCGCCGACTCCTCCTGGCGCAGTGGCGCGAGCTCCCTCGCGCCATTCGATAAAGGCGATCTGAATGTCATCGTCACTAGCAATAGTGACAAAGTCGCCATCCTCGTCCTGGTATCGGAGCTTGAGCATGCCCTTGCTAATACTGCTGTTGGTGAACCGCGCAAGTTTGGCGTCGATCCGGTCAATCAAGGACTGGTATGTGATGTTGAATGCAACAACCAGGGTGACGTAATTGCCGCTGTCAACAAAGTTCACCTTCACCTTCAACTGCGTGGGGATCGGCAAGTCGGGGCTGGCAAGCGGGTTGGACTGAGATCCGCTGATTCCGCCAGTGCCAAGAGGAGGAGACAACATCGCGTTCATAGACGCAGCCGCGTCGATGCTAAGCTGCCGGTCATGAACAGAGTTCGGCGTTCCCTGGCGGGGGTAGATTGGCTGAGCAGGGAACTGTGACATGGTGCCACCGTAGCTTCCAGATTGCTGGTGGCCGTACTGGCGTTCGCGCTGAGCGCCTGGACTCTGCGTGTTTGACCTGATAGGAACGTCGTTTACCCTGGGCGAGCCGGTCTGCGACCGCGGGATATTCTGGTCGTGGGCCGGGTGCAGGTGCGCCGGGATACCAGGCACCGCCGGAACAGGAGTGCCCCCTTGAGTACGACGGATATTTCCGGGAGCGTTAATATCGGGAGTGCTGTAGGATCTGCTGCGCTGCTGCTGTGCCGCACTCTGGCTGTTGGAGGCCATTGCCGGCAAAGACGGTCCGCGAGGATTCCTGTGCTGCGATGAACCGTCCCTTGAGGGGGCTCGAGGCATCGCCGGGGCCGTGTATCTCTGATTGGGATCTTCCCACCCAGGCTGAGGGGTCAGTGACTTGGGGAATTGGTATCCTGGATTAGGGAACATGTTGCTGGCGGTACTCGTGCGTGAGGAAACAGGCGAATCGGCTACGGGTGAAAAGTAAGAGTCGCCGCCGCGGGCCCCAGGTGAAGAGGCACCCGGAGCAGGCACCTGTGTCGAAAGACTGAGAGGCGCTGGTGGTTGCGGGAGAGGGAATCTAGGGGGCGGAGCCCTCACCATACCAGCAAGGCTCTCGTTAGTTGCGGCGCGTTGCCGCAAGCTTGTGCTCGATGCGTTGCGAGGCAACATGCTGCCTCCTGTAGACTGAGTCGGCATGGGGAACTGGGCAGGGGCAGAGGCCGGTGGCCACAGTTCTTCGTCATCGTCATCGTCTTGCTGGTTAAGATACGGGTTCTCGAGTTTGCCAGCATTTTCGCGTGTCCAGGCAAAGTCGGGTGCCGCCGAATCGGGACTCGTAGCAGATTTATTAGGCGTGTTCTCCTTACGTTGCGCCTCAAGAGCAACTGCCCATTTCTTCATCTGCTCCTCGTTGGTGTACTTGATCATGAAGTTCTCCACACCAGGGTCACCTTTCCACCAGATTTGGACGATATAAGATCCTGTGGGTTGTTAGCAATCGAGGCTCGAGGACTAGGGTTGATTCCCTCCCATACCAGGCTTCGCGAGGGAGACGATGTCAGTAACGTTCGTCATGAAGATTCTGCCCTTCAACTGAAGTCTCGCATTCTTGTTCCTGATCTTGGGTCCGGTAGACCTAGTCTTGTCCTTCTTGTCCCTGCTCTTGTTCGCCGAAATTTCCTTGCAGCAGAGTAGTATGCATTCGAAGAGGTAAATCTCGTACTACGAAAATCAGTGTTTGGTCTTGGTGGGAGGATTACTTTCTTGCGATGCGATACTTACGTCCTTTTCTTGCTCGCTCTTCCCTGTGACGACAGTGTAAACACCGTGCATCAGCAGCCTGCCAAACTGCTCCACACGATGATTCTTCCAGTCGTCGACACGGTTCCGCAAGTCGTCCAAAGCCTCGTCCAAGAGATCTCGGTTGACTTCTTCGTTGGCCTTTGAGAGGACTCGTTCGGCGGACTCAATACCGCCTGCCAGGTCAGCCTTAATATCTTCGTCCTCGCTCTTTTTCATCAAGTCCTTCAACAACAAAGGGTATTTGACGAGACGCTGCATAGGCTTAAGGAGGAAACCGTCCAAGGTGTTGAAGTCTGCGGCCACGGGATGCCCGCTGGCTTTTATCTGGTCAAAGACTTGATTGGCGACTTGGGCTGCTTTGCGCTGGTTGGCGATGAAGGGACGGTAGATGTCGAAAGCATCTTCGTAGGTGACGAACGGAGCACCCCAATGCTGTACAGTCTTGGGCATGGAGTTTGTCGTCTCGACGCGGATCAGGAATCGGCGCTGGAAATCCAGGATAGCGTTGATGTTGAGGAAGATCTGATGGATGGTGTCGCCAGTAATAATTCCCTTGGTTTCCAAGCTACTTTTCAGGTCGTAAAGATTCTCCAAATCTTGGACGTATTTCCGCTCCGTGTCTACCAGTTCCTTCACGATGTGATCCCGGTAGCTCAGCTTGGAGCCTGGTTCCATAGGAAGGTCGTCTTCGGGGTAAGGCTGGAGCTGCAACAAGAGGCCCCGTTGCTCAGCGATGTCGAGAACATAGTTGACAACTTGAGTGGTCTAAGACAAGGTCAGATTTGGTCATTCTTAATCTAGACGGTTGATAGTGATCGAGGGGCCGAGTCACCGTGAGGGAGGGACACCATTCGTTTCGCATACCTTGACAAAACCGGTAGTATCATTTCCTAGTACGTCGCTGATGACGAAGCATTCCGCCGATGGTATACCCAAATCCTTTAGACACGCCTGAATGAACTTGAAGAGGGCGATCTTTGCCTTTTTGCTGTCGCTGGCACTGGCGTTTGCGCCTTCGATCTCGAGGGGCTTCTCTGGTTGCAGGGCGTTGTAAATGTCGAGTAGCGGATAACCGGTGCGAAACAGGGCCCACAGTGATTCAACAGGGTCGTTGGGATCGAGCTCTTGCAGATAGGGGTCGAAGCCAGGTACCTGTGATAATCGCTGCTTCAACGACATGCAAATCTGGTAAAGGGACCGCGAGGCATCGGCCTTTTGGTTGATGATGTTGGCCGTAGCCTGAACGGGACCTCCATTTTGCGGGGGCGTCACCGTGGATGCGCTATTGAAGGAAGCGAGAGAGCCCGAGGATGTGTACGCTGTCGAGCCGGAAAGCTGGCTGGCGCGGGGCGCATTACTCATGGTATTGGGTAGGCCGCCAATTCCGTTGGATTGCTGGAATACAGGAGCCGTGTTTGTTCTTAGGAGAGGAGCATGAGCCATGACGTCCTAACCCATCCGGTGAATGGAGGGGAGAGGATGTAAGGACACGACGGTCGACGACAACGACGACGACAACGAAGAGGGTCGGGGATCGTGCGAGGACCGAGGGGCGAGGCGGTGGAGGATCGATGAAGCGGTTCCTGGTCCTATGTCGAAGCCAGGGTCACGTCATTCGGCACCGGGGTTCTTGAGAGTCGGTCTGGTCGAGTGGACTCGGGATCAGGAGTATCGGTGGTTGGGCGGAGAAGCGACAATGTAGCGGTGGGCGTCGGGGAAGATTCTCGTGGGCGATGAGCGTCGTCGGGAGAAGGGTAGGTTTGTTCTTGGTGGGCGAAAATGAGAACAAGGGGTTTGAGCGGTGGGCGTTCGGACTCTAGTATTTCCCCCCCTTGTGATGATCGAATAGGGCCCCCCTCTTTGTGTTTTGCCGGGCTTGGAACAGGCGGATAACGAAGAGGTATAGGGATGACTTCGTGTACGGGGTTTGCGTGTGCGTGTGCGAGAGAGAGATAGAAGGCAGTATGTGTGTGTGTGTGAGACAGAAGTGCCGGCGCCGAGAGTCGGTGGAGGAGGGAGGTTGGGCTGGTCGGGCGGGTCTGTTTTTCGAGTCGACGAGTCGAAGTTGCGGAGCGGTGCGGAGCGATGCGGGCTATCGGGGCGAAACGAGTTGCCTTTTTGACCCCTGTCCGGTCCTTGATCCTCCTATTAGGTGTCACTAGTGGTGGGCGATAGCGTGTATCTCGAACAAGTCTTCGTGGGCCAAGAGATATTGCGAAATGGACGTCGTTTGGAGGTGTCGGTTAAGGAGTGTTAGTTTGCCGACAGAGAATTGCAAGTCGAGGTTGGAGTTGTCGCTGGATTTGGGGACGCTGTTGCAGGACGCAGGCTGATGCAGTTGGCGTGCATGAGGGTGTGTCTTGATTCAACCTGGAGGGGGGCTGGGTTAGGTACTAGGTAGTGAACGGCAGCATGGGGAGAAGTAAAGCAAAAGTTTAGGGGGTAAGGCGAGAGGCACAGGCACAGGCAAGCCGCAAAGGCAAAGACAGAGGGGGGTGGGAGACTATCCGTACCTTCAAGATACAGAGTGCGGAAGCGCCTGAACTCCTGTGGTTGCTTCAACTTGCTTGGGTGCTTGGGAAGGGTCAAGTCCGGCCAGCCAGGTCAGGTTTCCAGTCCCCAGTCCCCAGCTCCAGTTACTGTTGCGGTCCAATGTGGTGCAGTGTCTCGTCGACCGTGCTCTGCTTATTGCCTGGGCCCCTAGAGTAAGGTATTGGGAGCGCGAGCAAGGGGGGGATGGGTACGGATGGTGGGATGGTGGTGGGCGGATGTTGTGTGAGTGGGAATGGGCTGGTTGGGCTGAGAGGTTTGAGGATGACAGATTCGGATCCACGTCCTTTGAGCCTTTGAGCCTTTGAGCCTTCCACGGTGAAGGTAGAGACGCCCGGCGAAAAGAGAGAGAGAGAGAAAGAGGCACAAGTGGGAGTGGAGGTACAACTGCGTGGTACTGTGGTGGAAGGGCGGCCTCAGGTTGGCCGCATTGATCTGATGGAGGTTTTGGGCGTTTCAAATTAGCGGGTGATTGCGCTAGTCTGCATTGGGCTTGGTCTTCCGTCCCAGTGGGCAGATTCACGTCTCCCATTGATTGAACCTGCCCTCGTGGTGCGCGCCCGGTACGTTCTACGATCCCATCAGCCTTCAGGCGCAAGAGTACGTACATACGATTTGCAGGGCAAGCCTCGACGGGGAAGTAGAGCGGGAATGATGGATTGGAATGGGAATGGGGGCATCTTGAGTGTGTCACTGGCCAGGAAGACCTCTATCAGGAATCAGCATCTGTGCTCTCAATAACGACAGTATCATACAGGAATATCGAGATCTCTATCACGGACAGAGCGACCGTCCACACCGTAGATCCTTGGAGACAAGGAGTGGACAAGTCTCAAAGCATACAAGAAGGAGGGCACTCGGACTGACAAAGAGGAGGGGGATTTTTCGAGCACGAGGTAGAGGAACACAAGACCTGGACACATCCGTAAATCTACTTGGCCGGCACTGCATTGTTCGAGAAGGTTGATGGAACAAAGATAGGGGAAACTTGTAATGGAGGGTACGGATAGACCGGGGGCAGAATCCAGCATAGGCAGACTCAATGATACACAATTTTCTGAAAACTCACTATTCAAATTATATGGATTGAGGATGATTGCTGATTACGGTTTTGAGCACATCCTTCGTTCTGCCCGTCCCGTGTCCCGCATCCTGCGTCTTGTTTTCTGACGGCTGTCATTGTTATGCCCTGGATGACGAGCATATGGAGGAAACGGGCCTTTCCTGGGGACGGGTATGTAAGGTAGGTACACCATCCACTATCAAGTTTCGACCAACACCCTGCAGTCCCTACCGTACAATAGCCGTCATCCAACGCTGTCTTAGGCTGTTTACAGACAGTCTTAAGCAAATCACAAGCATCAACCAGTATCTGTATTTACACAGTTAGTCGTATGCTCGCCTTCAAGCCGGTGTCGGGTTGATTGCCATGACCCCATCGCGTCTGCAAGGTACTCGTTGCACGACATGCCTGCCGGGCCCTTTGTTCCCCCGCTGGAGAAATCGATAGATCGATCCATGGTTGCTCTGCACAATGAGCCGACTGCCCACATGTTGGTCCAAACCCCTCAGGCCACTTGCGCCCAACATGATTTGTTTTGCTCAGTCAGAATCAGTCAGAGACGTGGAGATGCAATATCATTACGGTGAGCATTTCGGTGTGTTAGGTAATCAGTCAAGATAGACTAACAGTAATATCGATCGATAATAGAGGTACAATGAGGGAATCTGGAAACAACAGCCCAAGTGACTTCCCGCCGGGCAAATACTCAAGGTTGTAAATAAGGTACCTAAGAACGTACAGATAAGACGTCTCGGCTTAGCTAACGCACCGGCCTCTGCTCCGATAAGACACCTGGGGAAGGATGGGAAGGCACCAAAAAAGAAGGGTTCCTTCCTGCGCTCTCGAAGCCAAAATCTCCAAGACCCCTCGTGCCCTCTGAGCAAAGACATCCTGACCAACTCTTTTACACACATCCTCCGCAGTCCGTACTTGATGCTGCATATTCCCTATCTTGGGGGTTGCATTCGATAAACTGACCTTGATGCGCCTCGCCATCTCGGCCAAGACCCGAACAAGGCCTGACCGACCTGCATCGATCGACAACTGCCGTTGCAGTCGCAGTCTGTTCATCACAGTTGGTCTCCCCCCAACATTGAAACTAACGATGCGCCAGGCGCCTTCAAGCACAGCCATCCGGTCGTGTCTGCACTCTTCGGGCCTTCCCCCCCTCGTCCGCCGTATATCCTGCTGCACATATTGCAAGGCGCCTTCTCTTAGCAGACTTTGACCACATCTTGCGCTGTCGGCTGCTAGGAGCAATACAAACACATGGTCCCCTCGCTCTCCAGAAACCCCTGTGCTATGCTGCCCGTCAGCATTTTAAGCCGCCCGACCGACAGATTCATCCACCCAAGGGCAGACACAGACGATATCGGTGGATGGGTTCTCAGACAAGCGCATGAGCGTCTCCCATCCGTCTGTTGTTTCGATGCTCCAATGCACGGGACTACCCTGCTCTCACGCCGCAGACAGGACATGCGCCGTGCAGCCTCGCACTGCCATCCTGGTCTCTTCTGACTCTGCTGTCGTGCCTCTTCAGGGTTTCTTTCACCTACTCGCCGCTATCAAGGACGACGTTCACCATGCAATTGTCGCTGTCAGTCTATCCGGGCACACGGCTACCGACCGCCCGTTAAAGGGCATACCGTCATGTCTAGCTCCATGGCCACAAAACCTAATTCCCTGTGAACCAAGTCCTGGCTGGGTACCAATCCAGAACCGCGGATCAGGTCCCGGTAAGCCACCCTCCATAGGCTGACCAAAACACGTCAAAGACGTTGAAACACCATCTTCATGCATCTGGTAGGCTGTCCCACAAGGCCTAGGAAACAACGGGAGCCTCACATGACGAATTATTTTGGGGATTTCTAGACCACTCAACCAACGCCTTACAAGGAATGGCCGACATGGGTCACGACGGCCAGCCTCCAGGAAGGCGAGCGGAATCCACTCCGAACGAAGAGCGCCCCGGCAAGTTCCTTCGCCCTTCAAGATGCGCTGCAATGTGCTCCAAATTACCTTTCGTGCCTCTGCTGCTTTGTGGAATGAGCTGTCGATATCAAACATGGCGCTCGTCCTTGTTTCTTCCCATGTGCATACCCTGCCAAAAAGAAATACACCTATGCAAGCCCAGTATCGCAGCTGGCCACCTCAGCCCCAGGCTTGGAGGCTTCAACGGTGCGTCTCACTCTCGGGCTGGGCGGTCTGGGCTGGGGCGGTGGTGCGAGCTGCTCGGAGCGAGAGGCGTTTTCGGTGGCTTGATGATGAATACCGGCCCCGTCTCAAGACGGCCTGGTTAAGACTCGGCGGCCGCTGGATAGCTCAAGATCGAAGCGATGCGCCTGAGCTGCACAGTTTATGCCGTTCGCAGTTTAGCAGATGCTGCCAAAGAGCAGGGAGATCAGCCGCGGCACCCGGTCTTTGCCCGTTGTTTGTTTTCCTCCAGAACATTGTTTGAGGGCGAGACAACACAAAGACAGCTGGGAATCAGTGACAGCAGAGGATTTTTCACCAATGGCATTTTGCGGAGGACGCCAAGATGTCATGATTGGGCTGAGGCTCACAAAGGACGGACAAACTGGGGATAGTCTGTCGGGACAAATCTCTCGTGCATGCACCCACGCAAACCACGGCATCTATTGCGGCCTATCCCTTAATTGGTAGGACTAGACCTTACGGATACGAATAGGGACCGTAGGACTCGTGGTGGATCCAAGCAAAAGCCGAAGTACCCCGGAAAATCACTTTAGGCCGGTTTTTAACTCGCTGGATTGACGGAGGTCGGGGGTTATTTCGCCTTGTTCTGATTGTTCGTTGTCACAAAGAGGCATTCCATTCTGAGAGCACTCATCCAGAGCACAGTGTGCTCCTACCTACGGATGTCGCATGCCTTGACTCATCGCAGTTCGAGAAACAATCTGATTGTCGGCTCGCCTCGTGATCATGTGCGCGACTCGATACGCCTGGCAATGACACGCCTGTACTCATTTGAGCAATCTATAATAGAGAAAGAACGTCATATCCCCTTCAGAGGCGAGCATCCAGAGAAGGGAGTCCCGGGATGAAGTGCAGAAGAGGCGAACACCCAAGAAACCTACCCGGGGGTTTTCTGGAGAATAGCAAGGTCAGCTCCGAACAGCGCGCGCACAAGGAAAGTTTCGTGCGACATGACCGCGGGCGAATGGGAAAGTCACTGAAGCCAAGTCGGCCTCCTGATTGGAGTTTTCTGCCATTTGCGACGTCGTTCCCGCTGCCTCTATTCGTACTCGCCCTGCAACGGCCAGGAGAGTCCCCAAAAGATCACGATGAGGGATCCCTCGGATTTGTTCAAGTGAACTTCTTGAGGTCCTTGCCGCGCTTCCAGTATCTGAGAGGTAGGCGCAGTCATGCGGGTACCCAGACCGGGCGTTGTCACTATTCGGAGGCTCACCGGGAAGGGCGGAAGCAACTGACGCAGACTCATGGCTGAAGTGCCAGCCGAATCGGCAGAGCGATCATATCCACTAACTTTCGTGGTAGGCCCGAGAATTGGCCATTTCAGGTTGCGAATGAGAGAAGAGGAAGGGGGAAACTATTGATCAGGGCGGAATGTTCGCCGCCGCCGATCTGCGCCGTACACGTGTCAGTGACAGGTACGTGTGACTTATCATGCGGCCTTTTCTTTTTTTCGGCCCTCTCGACAGCAACTCTTAGGCGCAAGGGGAACCATGGAGGTGTGTGGCGATAGGATTTGCCTGACTTGTCTTCTCTACTCTTTGAAACCAGTTGAGTTGTGAAGGATGAGACAGTGAAGACTAAGTACGTCCGGCCTTGGGCAAGTGAAAAAGGGCCAGTATCAGAAAAGCGTTCTATGCCACCGGCCAGTGATGAAAGCCAAGACGCATAGAAACAACTTTGAAGGCAACATACAAGAAACCTCAGAGCTAAAGCCGGGTCTGGGCACATGATCAGCAATTCATGTTGCGATGAACCGGACCAGTCTCGGCAGCTCGATGGGAGGGTGACTGAATGAGGGAACATGGGTTTTGCTGTCCGATGGAGAAGTCGACGCCGATGGGGACGGGAATCGTAAATGTTATTTATATGCAGGTAGGTAAGCAAGCAAAACAAAGAGGGATTCACACTGAGAGAAAGAAATTATAAACTTTAGGGATTGAGTTGCGAGCTTAAATTGGGAAGGAAGGTGTATCTGCGGGTGTGAGGTATACGCCGTTGAGGAACGCCACAGCTCATGATATGGACGGGTGCTTACGGTGACTTATTTCTCAGGCACGTTAATGTAGAATGAGATCAGATTCATGTCTAGCCTCGGATTTGTGAGCATTTGTGAGATGTAGATATGTCCCACATATTGCGTAGTGTGTGAGTATCTCAGAATCCTGAACTCCCGGTGACAAGATCTCACTCTGCGTTCGTGAGGATGTACCAAGATGCAGGACAAGTCGTCGGCCGGCAGCGGGCATGTCTAAATCTGGACATGCACACATGCGTCACACCACACTTTTGCCCAATCATCAGTGTCATGTCAACCTAGAAGTTTCCATGAGCTTGAAGCTGAGGTCTTTTTCACCATTGAATCTTGCTTTCTGCCCGTACGCTCCACCCAAGCCCCTCCCGCGTTTTTGCCACCCGTTGCTGCTCATTTGCGGGTCTTCTACAAAGTCTACTGTATCCTGTATGTATTTCGTGCAGTGAGGCGGCAGGCACAAGCGGGAAGGGAGGGACGTTGAAATTTGAAAAGGATGGCAACTTGGAAGTAGATGGGAGTGAGATCATTGAATGATGTTTCATTACCTTGAGCTTCTTCTCGCATTCTTCCCGGAAGCCCGTCTCCTTCCCCGGAGGCGTTCGGAGGAATCTGCCGTAGGAGAGTGGCGGCGGCTTCGGCGTATGGCCTGACCTTAACATAAAACCGCACCCGCACCCTAGAGAGCCTGGATAGGTTACAGAAGGAATGCAGAGTGAGAGCGAGTGGAATGCGGGCGGTGGACGGACGTGGCGGCAGACTCCCGCGGCCGGTGGTCGCTCCGCATTGTTTTGGGCCCCCTTGTTCTTGCGGCTTATTTTTGCCTGCCGGTCCTTGCCTACTTTGTCTGTTGAATGTCCACACCTCTTTTCACTGACTTGGTCTGGCGTCCACACTCAGTATGGATATAAGAGGGAGCAGATGGGGAGAAGAGGATGAGAGGTTGGAGGTGGGCATCGTGAGAGGATGATGAGGGGATGAGGGGATGGGATACGACGATGATATTGGTCAATTGCTCTGATCAACAGATATTCACAGACAAGGAGACTATATGTGACTGCGTATGGCAATAAAAGAGTGAGGAGTGATGCTTTAAGACACGAGAACAGGGAAAAGTGGTAATCGCCGGACCCGTCTATTATTGCTCCATCATCCCCATCCCATCCCGCCACCTCCGCTCTCTCTCTCTGTGTCTACCGAAAGTCGTTTGCATGAGGTATCCGTGGATCCGTGTGTGTAGTACCAAAGTTGCTCAGCGGTCAACTTGTTGTGGCCCTGTGTTCCCATGTTCCCGTGATCTGTGGTTCCCTCCTTTCCCCTCTCCTGCTTTCCCAATCACCAATTGCTCAGGTTGAGGTGATTCCAAGGGACCCAAAAACAGGCTTTCCAGGCTCCAAAGCAATCCCCACCCAGTACCCACTTGGCTTTTACTGCGTAAGGAACTTAGCTTAGGTTCTCCTTACCGCCCGCCCGCGCGCCGCCGCCGCCGCCGCATCTCGTCTTCCGCCTTCCGCTGCCTTGTCTTTGCCTTGCCTTGTCTTGTCTTGTCTTCACCTTGCTCACCTGAACTGTCACCTACTTATCGGGCAGGTCTGGATTGCTTACCTGCATTTGTGATTATTGCCCTGCCTGCTTACCTCACGGCATCCAGGCCTCTTCAACCAACAACGGCCAAGCGCTCCCGCTGCATTTCCACCCGCCGTGCCGCCCCCGGTCAGCCTAGCATCCAAACATCCAAACATCCAGAACCGTTCAACATCATCCTACCAACCCTTCCCTTCCCCAATCCAACTCTCCATCTCAATCCCAAATCTCAATCCCACCGTTTTCCCACCCCACACCCTGTCCCATCTCCCCTTCTCCTTGCCTGCTTGCTCTGCTGTTGCATCGACATTCGTAGTTTTCAAGCCGCACCCATTCCTTGCTTTATTTTCTGGATGCGACAGAACTAAGACAACATTCTACACTACCATTGCATCACCACCAATACGTAACCACGCCCATCAAAGGAACCTTAGCCGCCTTGCATCACGTCGCCCAAAGGTTCTCCTGGATATCAGTCCGCCCATAGTCTCATCTGCCTCTCTCCCGCCGCACCCCCTCGACCAAGACGACAACGACGACACGCACGAAGCCTTCTAGAGAAGCCAATCGACCATAATCCACCCCGCGACCGAGCACGAACCCCTTCGGCCCCTCGCCCGCATGGCCCGCGACTGCGCATACCTTACCATTAGAGAAGAGCCGTAGAGACCAAGTCCTGCGCGACATCTCTATAACCTCCCGAACCACACACTCTCGCAAGACATGTCTGCCTTTACCTCACAACAGCCCGACGAGGGCTACTCCGAAGACCCTCTGAACCCCAGCTTCAGCGGTACTCAGGATGTCTCGGCCTCGCGTCCACCCGCAGACCTGCCCGCCTGGCTCTCCCAGCATCTCCCCGGCCTGTCCACCTCTGAAAAGACTGGTACGTTGACCTTGGCCCTCTGGTGCAGCTGCAGCAGGGCAGGCATTTGCTCTACTTGTTTGTAATCTTCGGGAAACCGACTGACACGTTACTTGGCCAAATGAACAGAGCTTGCTATAGCCCTTCTCGACCAGCTACCCACTTCGACCATCGTCGAAATCGTCCAGCGTCTACACCCTCGCATGTACATCAACTTTGTTCACTACTTGCCGACAGAAGTTTGCCTGAAGATTCTCGGATACCTCGATCCCCTCTCTCTCATCAACGTCGCCAAGGCTTGCCACGCCTGGCACGAGCTGGCCCTCGACCGCAAGCTATGGGAGAAGCTGTACAACATGGAGGGCTGGAAGGCCATCTACTCGGAAGTCAACAAGTGGGAAGAAGATGCGAACAAACCCCAGAACCAATCCCCCAGCTCCCTCCACAGGGTTCGATCATGCGAGGACGGCCACACGCACAAGAAGCGCGCGATATCCGAAGACAACGATCTCGAGATGACGGACGCCGGGGCTTCGGTTACCAGGGAAGATTCGATGAACTCCATCATGGGTAACAGCATCTTTGGCAGCCCTGCCTCGTCATTCGGTTTCTCGAGGAGTTCAGCTACGCCGCAACATGGAGAGATGGATCTGGACAGGTCAGCGTCGGGGTCCAATCGTCGGAGCGCAGAGAGAAATTTCAGTCTTGACACCAAGGGCAAGGGTAAGGCGTCGCCCATGCTACGGGCTGCTCTCGTCAAGGAAGACTCGCTACCGCTCATGATGTCCACCGACGCACTCGGAAGAATCTCGCGGTCGTCACTCTGGTCCTGGGACGCACCTAGCCGACGGTACAGGCTCGACTGGAAGTATCTATACACGATGCGCTACCGACTGGAGCAGAACTGGGAGCTTGGAAAGTTTACCAACTTCCAGCTGCCCCATCCAGATCATCCACAAGAGGGTCACCAAGAGTGCATATACAGTCTGCAATTCGACAGCGAATACCTTGTCAGCGGTAGCCGTGACAAGACGCTTCGTATCTGGAGTCTGCACACCCAGCGATTGTTGAGGCCGCCTCTGGAAGGTCACACTGGATCTGTGCTCTGCTTGCAATTCGATGCGGACAAGGACGAAGATCTGATTGTCTCTGGAAGCAGTGACTCCAACGTCATCCTGTGGAAGTTTTCAACAGGACAAATGATTCAAAGGCTCAAGAATGCCCACTCTGAGTCGGTTCTCAACATCAAATTCGACAAGAGGATTTTGGTCACATGCTCAAAGGACAAGACCATCAAGATTTTCAACCGTCGTCCGCTCAAGTACGGTGATCCGGGCTACGGTGACGGCGATGTCGTCTTCAACGCCCCGAAACGCGTCAGAGACTACGGATACGGCAACCCTATGGACGACTTGCCCCTCAAGCCTGCGTATAGCCTGATTGGTTCTCTGGACGGCCATGGCGCGGCTGTCAATGCCGTTCAGATCCATGGCAACGAAGTGGTGTCAGCCAGCGGTGACAGAAACATCAAGGTCTGGGACTGGACCAAGCAGGTCTGTATCCGGACAGTGGTTGGCCATAGCAAGGGCATTGCCTGCGTGCAGTACGACGGTCGGAGGATTGTTAGTGGCAGCAGTGACAACGAGGTAAAGGTGTTTGACAGGTTCACGGGTCTTGAAGTCGCCAGTCTGCGCGCGCACACCAACCTTGTGCGAACGGTCCAGGCTGGTTTCGGCGATCTTCCTTACAGCGCTGAAGAGGATAAGGCTGAGGCCAAGAGGATTGACGAGATCTACTTCAAGGCCGTAGCTGATGGAGTCGTCAGCCCCTTTAACGACCATGGCAGTCGCCGTGGTCGTGCCCAGGCCCGTAACGCGGGTAGTCAGCGACCGGAGGACATTACGGCGTACGGTGCCATTCTGCCTCCCGGTGGCGGCGGTGGCAAGTACGCTCGCATCGTGTCTGGATCCTACGACCAGAGCATCATCATCTGGCGCCGTGATAAGGAGGGCGTTTGGAAGGACACGCAACACCTGCGTCAGGAAGAGGGAGCCGCAGCAGCCCAAAGTCAAGCTCAAGCTGCGGCGAGAGCGGCCTCGCAGCTCACCGCACAAGAGATGCTGGCAAACTTGGAGTCGGGCTCCCCCTCCACCGCCCGCGGCACTCGGGGATCCTCCTCGTCCACCGGATCTCCTCGGACGATCGTCGACAATCCCATTATTGCCACCATCACGCCCGATTCGGCCCAGGCTTTCATGAACCTGATTGACACTGTTGTGCCTCGGGGACCGACGCAGCTGCGCCAGGCTTTGCACCATTACCCGACGATGTTGGTGTACAATTCACACATTCAGGCTGCCATTGGCAGAGAACCAAACCCGCGCATCAGAGCCGACCTCCGCAATGTACTCAATGCTGCCCTTTTGGAGACGCAACTCAATCAGTCGCGCCGCCTCGTAGCGAACCGCGAGGCGCAAACGATTGATCCGCCATCGCTGCCACCCTTGAATGGATTCGCCCCGTCGTCAAGCACACAGATCCAGCAGCCGACTCTTGCCAGATTTCATATGGAAGTTCTGCGACAGCGACAGGCTCAAGAGCAAGAAGCTGCTGCCGCTGCCGCCGCTGCTCCACCTGCCGCCGGGCCTGCGACGCCCCAGGTGCAAGGACATTTGCACATCCAGGGACAAGCTCAGAATCAAGCACAGCCGACGCAGCCGGGAGCACCTATCCAGACTCAGGCGACGCCGGTGCCGGTACAAGGTGCGCAAAACCCTGTTCCGGACGCGGCGCACCACCCGCACATTGCCAACGGCGACAACGGCCCGGCAAGGGTGTTCAAGTTGCAATACGATGCCCGCAGGATCATTTGTTGTAGTCAGACGAGTGTCATTGTGGGCTGGGACTTTTGCAATAACGACCCGGAGCTAGAGGAAGTTGCGCGGTTCTTTGGGACCGTGGAATAGAGGCGGACGATGTGGTGTGTTGGAGTAGCAGTAGTGGTAGCAGCAGCAGCATCTCACTGGCATAGCGAATCGTATCGGCAGAGGGAGGGCTCATTGGTTTCATTTTTGGGAAGAAGAGGAGTTTCGGAACAATAAGAAGTCAATTCGAGTTGTGAACATGAATAACCACTGTGCCTGATGCTTGTAACGAAGTGGATATGAGGTATGCCATTACGCCGAGAACAATCCGAAACTCTCCAAAAGCTCGCCGTCGCTCTCTCATCTAGTCCTGATCTCCTTTCCTTTCCTTTCCTGTACGACACTCTACGCGCACCTTAGCCAGCAGCCTCCTTGAGCTTGGCACCTTCCTTGGCCGGCTCCTCGTCCACAAACTCGGGCAACTCCTCCTGCAAGAAACTCGGCATGGCGCCCATCTCGGGCTCCAGCTCAGCCTCCATTCCCAGCGCCTCCAACTCGGCATCCAACTCCGCCTCGTCCACATCTTCAGGCACATCATATGACCTCGCCAAACTCTCCTGGATATCATTCCCAATATCCATCAAATCCGCCATCTCATCCTGCAACCTCTCAATCTTGTCGATATCCACTTTCCCATACTGCTTCTTCAATTCCTTGTTTGTAGTCTTGAGCGCGTCGACGGTAGCCATGGTATTTTTGAGGTTATCCTGCATCGTCTGCGCCTGCTCCATGTTCCAGACCTGGGACTGGAGCTGGTCGCGCTGGGACTCGTACATTTTGCGGCGCTGGAGGACTTTGAGGGCCTTTTGCTTGATTGCGTTTTTTCCCGGGCCGTCGCGCATTTTGGAGAGTTTTTGTTGGTAGGTGTTCAGTTCTGCGGTGAGGGCGGAGAGTTTTACGTCGATTGAGGAGATGCGGTCGTCGATGTTTGTAATTGCGCTGTTTAGGGTTGGTTTTGGGCCCTTGGGCGCTGCGCCGAAGAGGCGGTTCATGGTTGCGGGTGTTTTGTGTTGTCGCTGAGGTTCGTGAGGGAGGGTATGTATGTCTCTTGGGGTGTTGAAGAGCAGGTGTGGTGGACCTGGTGAGGAGGTTGTGAGGATGTTTGGGGTTTGGTTGGCGTTTGTGTCGTTGCCTGGATGACGTTGCGTGGTGATGAAGCTGGGTGACGGTTATCGATAGGACCCCGCGGTCGGGATGATGGTTGCGGGTGGTTGGGCTGGCCCCGCTGAGGTACAAGTCGCAAGGGAGAAATGTAAGGCCGACGCTCCGAGAGGCTTGGTTACGATCCCGTCTGCGCGAATGTGGACCTCGGAATAGCGTACGCGAGGATGCTCTCTGCCATGTCCGGCTTGGCGGAGGCAGTGAACATTGAATTTCCGCTTTCCAAAGATCTTTGGATGTCTGATGGCCTCGATACTTTCATCAACATTTGCGATCAGGACAAAAGTGGCTGGTTGATGGAATACTCGAGTCGACGAACCAGCCTGAAAGGTGAAGGCCAAGAGTCCCCGGGTTCAAATTCCATCACGGAGCATCAAGAAATGCAGCCACACCGGCAGCCAACTCTTTTTGTCTCTCTCTTCGGGTTCATGCTTCCTCCCACAGCTAACCTGCTCTAGATGGAAGCCTTCAGAGCTTCCCTGCATTTTGGGATAAACGTAATGTATCTATTGCTACTTTGTTGTGCCCCGGGTCTTCCCCATGTATTCCTAGGCTACACGAGGCTTTTGCTTAACATCCTACCCTAAACAGACGCTTTCTTTCTTTCTCTATACTTTCTGGTTTTTGTTATGTCCTTCCATTAGAAAGGATATTTAACACGGTTTCGGTGTTTGGCGTCTTGTCAGGGGTAAGCAGCTACGCGCGTGCGCAGCGACTCGCACTTACATAATGGTTTCCTCCCAAATCCTGGGCATCGCGGCTGGTGTCTTGTAATGAAATCGCCAAGATTCCATGACTAAAAACAGGGCCCCATACTACTGTTCCGTACTGTCCTTTTAAGGGGATGATTCGTCAGTGGGCAATCAGGACAGGTGCTCGTTGTTCATGCCTTTTGATCTCGTGCTGTCACCATCTGCTTCTTGATGTATCTAATAGCAAAAGTGAATGTATTTGCGACGCAGACGGACCACACCGACCTGTGAGAAGCTGGAGATGAGAAGGTCGCCGACGGAGGAGATGGCGGAAGAGGCCAAGCTGTGGACGGGTCGGCAGAGGTGTCGTGGTGATGAAGAGGAGGACGACGAAGGTCCTGGTGTCGCCGGCGGCTCCGAGACTGAGGCCTGTCTAGGTGATGACGACGATGATGAGAAACCCGGAGTTCTGTCTTCAGTTTTTGAGCTGCCAATATATGTGTCGATGCATCGGTACGTCCATCAAAGCTCAGAATATCTTATGCTCAGTCGATATGGGTAGCAAAGTGTTGACCTCGGAACAGCGTCCGCCGGCTCATCAATGCAAGCATAGGTGAGACCGTCTTCCATTGCCAGGAAACCTGTGTACTCACACTTAGATCTAGATGATCCATACACACTCAGTCAGTTGAGTGACCCCAGAATGAACATTCTCATCGTCCGGCCCCTCGTTGAGCGTTTGTACCATCCAAACGACATCACCATAGGTACGCGATCCCCCTCATCTTCAAAACTACTCATGACTAACACCAGAGCGAGTCTACTGCCTCCTGGCAAATCGCCTCTACTTTCTCCGTCAGCAGGCAACTTCAGTCCATCAACCCGTCAACATAGCCCGCGCAACGCTCTGCGAACTCGTAGCAGCACGCGTCCTTCGCCGCTTCCACGAAGCTAACCCAGGCTCCTCAGGCCTTCTATTCCTCTCACGCCTCCTCGTCGGCGGTTTCGACCCCTTCGAGGGCGCTCCGGAGGCCGTCGAGTTCGAAGGTCGTCGGCAGTGGGCACCCCAGGAACGTGGTGGTCTCGAACGCAAACTCACCGCCCTCGAGCTGGCCATCCTCTCCGAGAGCAAGACCTTTATCTCCTCGCCCGGATGCCAGCGCGTCATCAACGCCGTCTACGAGGGCCGCGTCGTCTACACACCGCTCTCTTTTGTCGACATCTTACCCGACCACTACGAGTACCGCCCCATATCCCTCTACGACCCGCGGAAAGCGCCCCTGCTGAATCACTACCGCCTCATCGTCCCCCGCTCCCGCAATTCCATCGAGTTCGTCCAGTTCCTCATCCTGATGATCCTCTACTTCCTCGCCATGCTCTACCGCCGCAGCAGCAACGAGGTCTTCGAATTCCTCTTCTGCATCTACGCCGCCGGCTGGGTCCTCGACGAAGTCGCCGCCGTCGCAGAGCACGGCTGGGAGGTCCACGCGCAGAACCTCTGGTCCTGGCTCGACGTCACCTTTTCCGCAATTTACGCCGCCTACGTCCTCGCGCGCATCTACGACGTAGGAGCAGGTCACTTCCCCGATGGTCACGGCCTACACATCCTCCCGCTCGCGGCGCCGATCCTCCTCACCCGCGTCGCCTTCAACATCGCTCCCGACAACATCGTTCTCATCTCCCTGCACGCCATGATGAAGGATTTCTTGCTGCTGTCGTTCCTCGCGTGCTGGTGCTTCATGGGCTTCCTCCTCGCGCTGCAGTGGCTCATTGACTCGAACGACAACTTCAACGAGACGCCCTCGTGGTTCGCCATCTGCAAGTGGATGCTTTGGATTTGGTTCGGTCTCGACGGTACCGGCATCCAGGAGTCGACGCAGTTCCATATCATTCTCGGTCCGGCGCTCATGGTCGGCTTCGCGTTCCTCGGTAACACGCTGTTCCTGACGATCCTCGTGGCCGTGCTGACGAACACCTTTTCTAACATCATTGCCGACGAGGCGGCCGAGGTGCGCTTTCGCCGCGCGGTGCTGACTTTCGAGGGCGTCAAGAGCGATGCCATTTTCGCGTACCCGCCGCCCTTTAACATCTTTGCGCTTGCGACGCTGTTGCCGCTACGGTTCGCCGTTTCAGCTGAGACGTTTCACAGGGTCAATGTCGTGCTGATCCGGGCGTTGAATTTGCCGACCTTGCTGCTCATCAGTCTGTACGAGAGGCGGCAGTTCTCGCGCCGGATGAGGAAGAAGATGAGTGGTGGCGGTGGCCGCCGGAGATTCTTGGGGTGGCAGCTTTCGGGGTTTTCGCCGCACGGTGACATTCAGGCCGTGTTTGATACGGCGCCGCCGCCGGATGTTGCTGATCTGATTGAGAAGCTGGATAAGATTGGCGATGAGGGGTCTGCGACGAGCGAGGTTGTGCCCAAGTTGTCGGCTGATTTGGGCCGGCCTATTCGATGGAGATCAAGGCTACGGAACGGGGTTCAGGAGCATGACGATTAAACGAGGCCGGAGAAGGGCCGCCGTAATGGCGGTAATTAATTGTATATTACATCAAGGCATCAGAATACATCTATCCATGTCCGTCGTCGTCCCTTTTCAAAGCTTCCACACCTGAAGATTACGATATCTCGCAACAAGAGGCTGCATCTGTCTGAACCCAATTCTTCCATCCCGAATAATAGGCCCCGTGGACTTGTCATCGTAAAACTCAAAGATGGGCAAGTCGTTAATGCGGAACTTGACCTCGCGCTTGTCCTTGATAACCTCAATCTTGTAAAACGCACCAGCAGCGTCAGGAACAGGCGGCAGAGGGTCCGCACCCTGAGAAACAAGGTGAAAACCAGGCGACTTGCGCAGGTTCGCCAGATGGAACGCCCTCTCCTCGGGCCAGCGCCTGCGGAAGTAGGACGCGTGCAGCGTGCGTATGTCGGAGGAGTGGTACTGCGGGTAACTCCCGTTCCTGGGCTTGAGAGACGGGTCAAAGATGGACCCCTTGCCGTCGTCGGCGACGGTGGCGGCGCCGAAGAAGAACATGGCCAGACCGGGTTCGTTGCGCGGCGAGAATTCCCAGGTGATGCGGATGCCGTCGGGGAAGACCTCGGGGACCCAGTAGACGAAGTAGTCGTCTGGGTTGCCGCCGCCCGACAGCTCGAGGGTGTTGTTGACGGCTGCTACGGTGAGGGGGCCCTCTGCTACCCAGGTCGCCACGTCGGCGGTTGAGTTTAGGGGATTGCTGTAGAGGAGGGTCTCTGCCATTGTCGAGGTTGCTAGGGCGAGGAGCGCGGTGAGGGTACGCATCTTGGATGATTCAGAAGAGGAGAACAGGAGTCTGAGAGCTGGATGACTTATGTGATGATCTCGACCCGGGGGTTTGGATGCTGATCTTCTGAGGAACCTTGAGGGAATGCTCTAAGTTGGAGAGACAATAAGGATCGCGGAGGTCATATCGGAGCAGCTTAAGTGGATAGATGAGATATTTTGTAGCTGCACGGAATCGAAAACCGGTCACATCGTCTCAAGCGCGTCAGTAAAGTTTGCATCTTGGAGCGGAGTGATGCTGCACCGAGATTCCCGAGTCCGGGGTGTTCCCCCGGGAGTGGAGAACCGGGAGGTTGACAGGTGCGCCGAGCTAAACTGAGAGGGGCAACTCCCGAGTCCCGCCATTCGAGTTTAAAGTCGCGCAATGTTGTCATCTGAAAGGTAAAAGGTGTGATTAATATAAACGGTGAGATTTCTACCTTGAATAGAAGTTTAGGCCGACAAAGCTGTTGAGCAACTTGAGCCATGTGCGATTTGTAGGTGGCATCCGAAATGCTTATCTCATGTCGCTTCTGCAGCCCTGTATCACGCCACATTGACCCAGAGTGATGTCCATGGAGGTAAAAATTCAAGTGGAAACATGCGTCTAAAGTTGAGGTTCCTGGACACGTTGTGCCCGGGCTACTCCGTGACCCAACGTCTCAATCCGAAATCTTAACATTTAGGTAAACATTCGTGAGTCTCTGCTAGGGGAGCAGAGTTTCCGCCAATTGAGGGGTTGAAGCTCAGCGTCACATCCGGTAATGAGCCTAAATAACCGATTCGAACGAGGCGGAGATTGCGATTGTTTCTTTCGAACGATGTCTTGGCAATGCCCGTGCTATCCGGAGAGGCAGCCTTCGTCTCAATCTTGACATTTGAAGAGCCGATCGGATGTCGTGTCGTTACGAGCCGGACGGAGTGACGCCGGCCGGGCCCGGGTTTCCAACGGCGCTATTGACGACGTCGAAGCGGCGCTGGCCCGCTCAGGAGTTGTCGGTGCCGATATTCACTTTACTTACTTTAATGCTCCTGTGATAACACTAGCCGTCTAAGGTACCATGCTGCCACTTAGCATCCATCTTTATTTCCCATACTTTTCCCCCAAGAGGAATTGACGCATATTGTAGCGTTGAAGATCCATCATACGTCATCATGTACTTTTGATTTCAACTTCTGAGTGGCTTTCCTCGTTATCTCTCCGCACGCCTTTCCAAGCTCCCACTTGATCAAGCAAAGCTATATCTGGAACAAACAGTAGTAACCGAACCATGTATGGGAACTCCCCTGAGTTGCATGCATCTGTGACGTATCTCAGGCTATTTACCTTCTCTCAAGTTTTCGATAGGACTTGAATCATATAATTCCCACGCCTTGGTATTCATAGTTCATGCAGTCTAGAAAGTATGGTATCAAGGTATGAAGAGAACCAACACAGGTTCAAGTATGCCGTTCTCCCGATGACCGGGTGCTTGGCTACCCATTTCGGTACCCTTGGACCCTGAGGCTCTGTTCGATTTCCCTATAAATGGAGCCCGAGAGAATCAATAATGGACCCCGAAGACGATACTGGAGCCCGATGTATCGGAGCTGAGCCGAAGAACCCCCACTTTCCACCGTTTCGTCTACTTTGAGATAGACGACAAGGCTCTTGAAGCTCCGACAGTGGATCTTTACCCGGGAACCTCCTCCGCCAACTCCGCCATCGGAACAGCATGCCCATGACACTGATGGAGACCTCAATAATGCCCAGTCTCGATTTGCCCAGCTAGGCTGAGATATCCCACTTAACGGTAATTATCATCGTGAATCCTCGTACGATGGAGGCATTTAGGCAACAGGTTACGAAGCCGATATCTAGGAGCCTTATATCCCGAAACTTGACAGCATGAAGTCGCGAGGCGAAAGGATTAGCCAGTACACAAAAGCCTTGGCAAATTCAAATGAACTACCTACTATCACATATTAACCTCCCGTCAACATTATCATAATGGCTCCCGGCTGGCTCGAAAAGTTCATCGTCCGCGTAGACGTCACCCCAGACAAACGCCGCACCGAAGAGACACCTGCTCTGGAAATCCACTACACCGCACTCAAAGAACACCGCCGCATCCTCGGCATCAAGGGCGACACAACGCCGCGCTACGAAGTCAAACGACAAGCGGTCCTCGCAGCCTGGGGGGACAAGTGCCATGTCACATCACCCGCGAACGGAGGCCAGGAAGTAGCCGTGATCGATTTTCGCGCGCTGCCAACCCAGACGGAAATCAAATTTGTACAACGTACGCTTAGAATCAATATCAAAGAGAGTGACGGAAAGTACGAGGCAGGCGAGCTGGGTAGTTTGCATTGGAAGGCAACGGGTATGAAGGCGTATGGTCGGGCATCATGGGAGTTGAGGGATGAGGCAGAGATGATCTTGTCTGTCACGATTGATGATCATCAAGTGAATGGTGTGATCTCCGTCTGGAAGAAGGATCTCGGACCGGAAACTGTCGAGGAAGTTGTCATAGTTGGGATTTCCAAGATTGAGGAGTACAGGAGAATGATGCGGAATGCCAAGATATCTAGCATAGGAGTTGCAGCCAATGCGACGTGGTTGGCGGCGTAGTAGGGTATGTCGACGTTGCTTCTGAATATCAACATCATCGCGGATGGTATCATGATTCAATTATCAAAAGTCAAGAAGTAAGGCTCTTGGCGATTGTGTTAAGAGATATTCGGTCTGAGATCAAATGCAGATTGAAGACTTACCTATCTCTTGCGTTGCATTTTGGAGCTGGGCTCAAAACAACTGGATTCTTAATTTTAATGGCAGAATCCATGAATTCCGGGTCATCAGAAGCTGTCCTTCGAAGCGTATTTTTATTGTCCTTGAATCATCGAGATGAAAGTTAGCAATAGATGCAAGAGACTAAACACGAATCACGATAATTCTTCTTCGTTCGAAATGTAGTTCACTAATTACCACTTCCACCATTCCGCTGACTACTCAGTCTATTTTTCGTCTGCGAAACTATTCACAAAGTTTTCAATGCATTCTCCACAACGCACTCTTGTCATGCCAAGAATGCTCTATGATGAAGTATTGACACATCGTAACAAGGAGTATTAGATCCAAGCTCCACATGACACTCTTCAAATAGTTGAATAGCTGCCGTGACGTGCTTCTAACTAAACAAAAACACCGGAAAACTACACTACCAAAGTTCTGCATAACACCAAAAAAGTGATGACAGCTCTGCAAAGCTATGTCAACTATGACACAAACGTTGTACGTTTCTCTTACAATATCTCCTATGTCACTGTTCGAGAAATGCTGCTGCCTGGGGCTGTGAATCAAAGCGGAGCAATTACAAAGTCTATTGTTTATTAACAAAGATTTACGTCCCAATCTTGGCCGAAATAAGGACCCCGCAAGAAGTAAATGAGTGTCGTCTAAGGCTGGAAGCCGTGAAAGCAATGCCGGCAGCCGAAGATATTGCACCTTTCGGAAGGAAACGCTTGTCGGACAAGGTAACAAGATGGGCCGTCATGTCAAAGGTCATAGGCGTAACTCATCCAATCACTGCATGGATATACACATAAAGGGTCCTCATATTCCCCAAATTAGCATCTTCTTCTCAAGAGACCTTAAAACACCTAGGCATCCGTCTTCCTCACTAGATCAATCCTTCCAACATCCCAAACCCGCTGGCCGTCAGGTCTCTATGCTCACACCACGACCACCTCAATTCTCTTCAGTAAACAGAAGAAGGGTCCCTCCAGCCCTACAGGCTCCAATAGTCTTTCCCTTGAACAGCCTCGGAAGTGCCGTTAGCCGGGACAGACTACAGTCCCAGAAAGCAAAGGAAATCAGAGAGAGGAACAGAGAAAGATAGCAAACAAACCCCCCTCCGTCCCGACTCGCTCTAGCTTGGAAATAGAAGGCGGGGCGTGCGCGCGGGGGGGCGGCCTTTCTTCCCAAGAAAAATTCTAGGCGGCGTTTCTGGTCTTCGGAGCCCGAGTCCGTGCCGGGATGGTGATCCTTCGAGCTGCAAAAAAGGACGGCAGAATAGGGGGTCAACGTTCTGGCGGAGGACGAGGGCGCCAGCATCGCGAACGAAACTGTTACCTTTTCAAAGAGGGAGTCTGTCTTTCTTCCGTTGGCAGTCTGACCGATATGTCTACACTGGGCCAGATTTCCAGCTCCTCTATGCAGTATACCCAGCTGAGGGTCACGATGAAAGCAACCTTTCTGACATGGAGACACTCCATCCATGCCCAAGAATCCATCCACAATGAAGCCCCCACGCACACGGACGCTCGAGAGCACGGATACCCGTTGTGAGATTGGCAGAAGGACACCAAGCTAAGAGAAGGGGAAACGATGCTCGTACACCCTCACTGCAACCTTAGAGCTATTCCTTCCGCCATCGAGGGCAGCCTAAAATCTGCCTCGACTCCTACAGAGAGGCCCATGAACTACATAGCATACCCCCTTAGCCGAAGGAAGACAACAGGGACATGTAGAGAAGAGACCTTGCATAGACAGACGCTTAGAGCGGCAGGTAAGAAGAACCCCGTACGCCGGAGAGCAGTAGCCTTCAGAAAGATCATACCCCCCCCCTCTCTCCCCTTACTCCTTCGCTCCCAGCGGCATCGTGACAGGCTAGACTCGTCTTACGACATGCATTTCCTTTCCCACTCCCTCTACCTTACAAGCGTAGGATTGCGCCAGTGCAGGGTCATTGTCGGTCGGGCATGGTGTGGACAGTAGGAAGCGAGCTTATGTGCCCTCTGTACGGCGGAGGTTCCGCTGGGTATGCGGCATAGGGTTATCAACATGCTGGCCGCTGCTGCGCCTCATCGACCAACACTAGCAAACACACGTCCGTTGGGTGTAGCAAAGAGGGATCTCAATCGATGTCGAGGTCAGTGAGTTCCAGGGGGCTCACTGTGGGTTGATGTGCCATTCTGCCCCCAATCTCGGCGGACGGGCGAAGATCTGAAAGGGGAAGCCTTAAGGACGGGAGGTAGCTGGGTATTTGCGGATATGTAGCCTGGTCTGACTTCTAAGCTGGGTAGTGTCTCAAGACCTTTTCCCGCTCACTTTGCGAATAGAGCTTGGCATACACTCACACTTAACAGTTCCTATCCACACACGTGCAGGCAGTCGTAAAGGGAGGTCGGGCAATTCCATTGACGATATACTGCGGCTTGCTGCCTAACGCCGTGACCCTTCTACGCAACCAAGGTTGAATATCGAGGACGATATGAGACTAATGCTCGCTTGAGCACGAAAAACATGCCAAATATGTGTAGGCGGTTTGCTTTACGGTCAAGTTCATCACGATTGTACCGCGACAATCAGTCCTGTGCCGCGCCTGCTACCGTCTTCTGGGTTATCCACTCATTTGTAAGTGAACAACCAGCAACACCACGTCACTGAGTGGAAAGCTGGATCGGAGTAAACGACAGTTGGAATAAGATTATCAAGAGACCAAAAGGCGTGCACAAGTCTGCGTGAGACAGATGAAAGCGACAGGGCCATATTGCATTTCTGTCACGCGCTGGTACAAACTCAAGCGGTACACTTGTACATGGATGGCTGCCTCTGGGAGAGTGCCATTCAAGGGTGTCATCGCGATGTCGTCCTGATATTCGTCCCTCTCATCGACCCTTCTGCCTTCCCTGCGCACTGCCTCCCGAAAAACCTTTCTCAATCTAAGCATGGCCACTCACTTTACGAACGTCGAACTAACTTCCAACATAACCTGAGAATGCAACGGCACCGCATCAGTGAACATAATCATCACCCTATAATCCATGTCTTCGCAAAGTCTCCAGGCTCCAAATAGAAGGCTCGGCCCTAAGACCCAGTACAGCCTCCCAACTCCCAACTCAGCGCCCTTCACTTCCCCTATATTGACAGAGGCGAGAGAGCAACAACCATGATGCTGTACTCTCAGAGTGCTCCATCTAGACTAGGAAAAAGAAAAACGGAAATTCATCAGCCTTGTATCCGCCGGTGCGCGGGAGATCATAATCCTCTTCCATCCTTGCCCAGTCTTGCACGATTCTACAGTGATCTGAAATAGGGGCTGGGATCTTCATTCAACCTCCACCCCCTCCTATCAACCTCACGAGAAACGTACGGCTGCCGAGAACTAGATGTAGGCAATACCAACTTGGCAAACCTCCGGAATCATTGCCACACCCCCAAGCAGACAATTAGCATCATCTCCGTTGCCCCCTCGAACATCCAGGATTCGTCTGCCTAGTGTTCTCTCCGTGGGACGTTACGAATAGTTACTCACGCTGCCTTGCGCCTAAATCTCGCGCATCTAGCCCACTGCAGGCAGCATTTGTACCTTTTTCTAGAATCCAAAGTGAGTTTGGTTCCAACCCCACTCTGACAGGAGAGACCAACTTCCGCTCAGAACACTAGCAATCGAAGGGTTTAGTCTGCTCAACTGTATGGATATGGATCACCTACCGTGCCTCACCTCTCCTGCCTCGGCTCTCCATCTCGTGCATCCAGGCAGCAATTTTACCTTCTAGGAATCTCCATCTTGTTCTTACCCCCTCTGCAAGCATGAAGTATCCCAGTCTGCTCCAACTGTACATGCATCGTAAACGGGCCGAAGTCATCCAACGTCCAAAGGAAGATGATCTAGGAAAGAACCAGGGTGTCTTCATAGTGCTTCGATACAACCTGCATCTGTGGTCCGATCCACTCACGTACCGAGATGTGCGAAGCTCGGAATAAGGTATAGTCAAGTTTTTCTCTCGCCGCAACGGCTCGGGGTAGCCTTCAAGGGGGCACGCGAGGATACATGCGCACTCCCGGACCAGCAAACGTCGTAAGTCGTACGCTGAAAGAGCGCTTGGGATTAAGCGAGCCTTGCGATCACGGTGAGTAAGTAAACATATTCAACGAAAAGAGACTGACATCAGTAATTACTGGGACGAGTCAACTTCTTCATGGCCAGCGTCAGAGCGAGTTTACGTTCATCAGCACTCTCACTGGGCACACTAAGCGTGGGGTAAGTATCCGTACGGCAATACCTTGATGCAAGGCAACCATGAAGAAAGGCAAAGTATCCAGCCATTCACATGTAACAATCCATTGACGGGGCCAAATGTACGTGCAATTCAAGAGTTCGCAGTCAGCGGGGATCGTCTAGAACGAGTCTCTCTGCCATCTAGGAATACCCTCCCGTCTCCCATATCCCAGGCTGATGCAACCGTATATGTCATGCAATCCTTCCCTCTCGCCCACCCAACTCCAGGCCAAAGCCCCCTCTTCCAACGTCTTACCAAATGCACATTCTTTCTCCATGTATCCTCACCATCTACATCTAACTCTAGCTCTAAACCGCAAGCTCTGAGCGAACTCGATCCCTATGCTTCTACAACCTCCCCGAACCAGGCGGCATCCGAATCCCCATCGCCGCCGCACCCCCAGCCCCAGGAACCCTCGCAGCAACCTCGTCCACACGCCCCTTTTGCAGACTGAATCCGGGTGTAACCCACCCGCCGCAGCTGCACCGGAATCCCCGCCAGCTATACCTCCCCACGGCGGCACCGCACTTCTGATTCGGGCACGACAGCCGTCCCTCCAACGACCCCTTCTCCAGCTCCTCCCTCATCCACCCCAGCGGCTCCACAAAGACGTGTCCGCACGGCTGCTGTTGCTGCCGTTGGTCCCTAAGAGCATCAGGCTCGTGATCGAGCACGAAGCGCGGCGTAGCCAGCGTTTTACGACACTTTTTGCACCGCACCTCCATACCCTTGACGCTCTCCGCCTCTTCCTTGCTCGTCTCCTCGTCCTCGAACCGCAACTTCGTTGGTGCCTGGCCCGCGGCAAGGCTCTCGTCAATCTCTCTCTGGAACTCCCACCGCTTGTAAATCGGGTGTGACGCCACGTCGTCAGGGCACCCCATGATCCACCACATCTCGAGTTGCTTCATGAAGCCCGAATTCGGCTCCGCAATCTCCCGCGTGTTGCGAACCCACTTCACGGCGGCGGCGACGGCGGCTGCAGCTCTCTCTTGCGCTGCCGCGGCTTCGTCGGCGGACTTTGGCGCCCCTCCTGAAGCTCCGTTCTGCGCGGCGGCCGTCGATGTCGCGGACCTGCCGAAGCGGGAAGGATGTTTCCAGAGGAGGTAGGCGACAATGGCAGAGACGGAGCGGGACTTGCCCATGGCGCAGTGGACGTAGACGCCGCCTGGGGTATTGGGATCCGGCTTCTCCCCGTCAGAGCTGAGGTCCAGCTTCTCGAATAGGGGGGCGGGGAGGATGGCATCCGGATCCGTGGGCTTCGCCTCCGCCGGCGCCGCTTTAGCTGAGGCAGTCTCCGTCTCCGTCTCAGACTCGGTTTCCAAATCCTTGGCCACAGCCGCCTTCAAGCGCTTGGCCTTCTCCTCGAAGCTCTTGTCCTTCTGGGCCTCCTCTTCAGGCCCGTCCGTGACGGTCTTCTTGCTGCTGCCAGGGTACAGCGCATCCTCGATGAAACGAACGGCCTTGGGCAGGTGAACGAGCAAGTCCTCATCCTCCACGTCGTCGATGTCGATGACCATGTGCTTGTAGCTCTTTCCGTAGTTCTCCCAGGTGTCGGTCTCGCTCTTGAGACCGGCCGGGTCAAATCGCAGCACGGAGAGAATGTGGGTGATGTTGCGCTCCTTCAGTGCTGAAGGGCGGCGCAAAGCCCATATGCTGGTAAACACTGTTAGTGAGCCTCATAGCTGGAGATGACGAAGTAGAGAATATGTCTCACCCGCCGACATAAAGCTCCTCCTTGCCATCGATACGGTTCATAGCCATTTCGACGCAGCTCTTCTTCAAAAGTCGTTGTAAAGCCTCACTTTCCTCGCTCCCTTCAGGTTCGCCAGTGTAGACCTCTAGGGTATTGGTAGGTGCTTCTTTTTCCTTGGGGGATAGCACCTGCGCCGCGTCCTGCAATGTCGTTGTGGTCGTGGTCGTGGTCGTCAAGCTTGACTCGATCTCTTTCAATCGCTTCGTCACGTCCTCGGTTGAAATCTGGCCACGAACCATGCGAACAGGTTGATCGATGAAGGGTTCAAAGGGCAGCTTGGCACGAGATACATGAGCGTAGTACGGTAGTGTATGAAGGTGTAAGTTTCTCTACTGTTTTCAGATGTGGTGTATGACCAAAAGAGAGAAAGAGACTGAGAAGGGGGGAAAGAGAGCGTCAATATCGGTATCCCAAGCCCAAGAGCTACCAGAATGACAGACCCCTCTCGCGTGCCAATCTCGGGATGCGACGAACGCTGGTGGTAGCGGTTGGTGGTGGTGACGGGAATGACGCAGTTGTGCTTGTGGCTCGGCCTGAAGTTGCTCTAGCTTTGTTTCCCAAAATACTGCCGTTGCCGAAAAGAGCCAAGCCTCCACCTTTGTTTTCGTCGCCTCAGTCGTTGCGCTGCGATGGGTGTACGTACCCTCGTGCTCTTGGCTCCTGCCACTCGGCCGTGTGGTGGAAAGAAATGTCCGGCGTCCTCTTCCCTCGTGCCCGCGGTGTGCGCCCCCCCCCCCCCCTTCCCCGCCTCGTTCGCCCCCCCTTCCTCAGGGCACTTTCCCATGTCTACAATTACTAAGGTGGTAGGGTACATTGGCACATTGGGCACCTTAAAGACGGAAGAAGGCCATGCGCCACCGCCACATCTCAGTGGCTCGTAGGGCTGAGATCATGTGACCTTCTGTCAGCTGGCGGCCTCACTGCGGCATGCCGAATTGCCGTTGATGAAGCCTTATGGTGACTTGGCGTTTACACAGAGCAAAGCCCCAGAGCATGTGGTTGTTTCTTGATCAACAGACACCAACACGGGGTACTCCGTACTGTGGCTACCTAATCGCAGCCAGCTGTGGATCTGATCAAGTCTCCATTGACTGCCAGACTGTCTGCCTCTTGATCCCATCGTGTTGATTCGGAAACCACCAAATACTCGACCACATCACATACTACGAAGAAGCAAATCCAAGTAAGGGACATATCATGGATGGAATAGTAATGCTTTCAAGATTTGGTAAACTTTTTATTCTTTTCTCACTCTCGTCCAACCTGTGTGCCCTGACCCTACCAAATACATTGCTAGCTTGAACTCCTCAGTCTTGCTGAAGGACGTGCAGCATCTCTTCTAATAACAATATCATTTCGTCGTATCACCTCTCCACCACTGACTGGCCGAAAAATGCCTGGTATTTCCTCCAAATGGAATGCGCGCAACAGACAGCTTGCAGTTATGTTTCCGGTGCCTGAAAGCTCCTCATGGCAACCACCTATACTCCAAAGGCCCCAAAATATGGGTGCTTCCAAATGGCCAGCCCATCAACCCCGTGAATGCTGCCCACATGCTTCAACAATATGCTTTTGATAATTCTTTTTTGTCCTGCTCATGGTGCCGGCAATAGGATTGCTAACCAGGCCGTAGGGTGGGATCCTTTTCGACATGTTTCCCTCGGCCCTGCGCGTCAACAGCCGTATTCAACTTGACGGCTTGTCCAGCCTCAAATCGTTCGCTCGCATTCCGTGTATTAGTTAGACGCTGCGATTCATGGCGCGCTACGCGGTCCGGAGATTTGCGTCCAATGAATGGCTGGTTTACCCATGCCATAGTCCCCAACGAGTCGTCGGCAAGTCAAGCTTGAGAGCTTGCCTTATGTTCATCTCGGAGTGGGATCTTCATCCAACATGCAAGCATTCTCTAGCATGTTCGTCCATTTGCCGCTTGTGCCCGCGTGGCTGTGCTTCAGATGCTGCCGGAAGTGGTCTGCGCGGAAAAACTTCTTGCTGCTGTTGCATTCCCTAAACTTGTGAACCTCTTGGAGGTGGCGAATGCGCTCTTCCCAGTCCTGGTCGGTAGCGTGTCGCGGCGCGGAAGCACCAGGGCCTCTCCCGTTCCTGGGGAACTCCTCACCGCAGTAACCACAAGAGTCTGCTTCACCAGGGCGATTGGTACTGTCGTGGAACGCACGATCATAGCCGTTCAGAGCCGAGCAACTCCAGCTGTGTCTGCGGACGTGAAGACTGTTCTGGTGGCGTTCTGCCTCGTTCTTGTTCTTGAATCGATTCCCGCAAAATGAACACTCATACTGCTTCTCGGCTTCATGAGACCTGTTGACGATTAGCTGGAAACTCCATACCAATTGCAGGGTCGGTACTTACGCCAATTCCTCAGCCGACTCAAACTTCTTGGGTTTCTTCGGGCAGCAGTCGCACATGAAGAATCCCGAAATCTTGGTTCCGCCAGGCTTGCTCACTTCCGTAAGCTTGCGGGGAGAAGCGAGAGGCCGGCTTTCGCTAATGGTCCGCTGGTGGGGTGCCCTGGAAAGGGAGCCGCGAGGCGAGGGGTTCAGCGACATTGACGCACTGTAGGGAGAGCTGCAGCTGGGGTCGGTTCCGCCAGGTGAGATTCCACCTGGGGAAAGACCACCTGGAGATACTCGGCCAAACGACGAGGAGCCCATGCTGGCAATGCTCCCGGTGAGTAGTGATAGATTAGAGCTGTAAGACCCTGCGCGACCGGATGGCGAAGAGATGGATCCTTGAGGGATGACGCTCAGTCGAGGCGTGGGAGATCCTCTTTGATTTCCATCGCGGCGGCGGAGCAAGTCACCCTGGGTTGTAAAACCAAGTGGTACGCTGTCATCGGGATCAGCAGATGCACGGCGCTTCGCCCCGGCGCCGTCGTAGTGCGCTCTCATGGGATCTTCTATCCGCAATCTCTTCATAGAATTGGTCTCCTCCATCTCCATCTCGTCCACTTCGTAGCTGTGCGATGATGCATCGTCGCTGTTGTTTCTTCTTGTGCGAGTAGGCGGTGACCTGTCCAGATCGGAGACAGACCGAGGGGACCTATAGTCTTGGCCGAGATGGAATGGCTGGCTTCTAGGGGAAGGTGAGAGGGCAGAGTGAGGAGTCTGCGTATACCTGTCGGGAGAATCTAGGAGGTTTGAAGTCTTGAGGTGCAACGGAAGACTGGTGGGCACGGAAAGTGGCGGTACACGCATGTCACCAGACAGCCTCCTCGAGAAAGGGTCGCTAGTCGATGAAGTGCTCGATGCACTGAGAAGCGAGCCAGGCGGCTTGTTATCGAATGTCTTTAAGGGAGCGAGCTTCTTCTTCATGTCGGTAAAGGCGTCGGCGCCGGACTGGAACTGGAATTGGTTGTGGTGCAGACCAAACCCGGCCGAGATGCTAGGCAGAGAACATTCAGATCTATCAAGACGGAATTGTTAGATAGGCACCCAAATCTCAACACTCGCAAGGCTTCTTCTTCTTCTTATAGAACCAAACTAGGCCCCACTGAAGGGTTGGGGATTTCCTACCTTGTGGAAGCCGAAGCTGAAGACGAACCCATACTGGCATAGCCCTCATCGTGCCTGTAACCGGACCTCATGTAGTGTGGTCTGTCATCCAAGCTTCCTAAGCTGTCGTGATAACTGTGTTCTCTGGGGCTGTATGATGAGGGATCGCGGTAGTGTTGTCTGGGCTCCTGGTGATGCATGTGAGGATCGTCGAAGGGGAGTCGTGGTGGTGGTAAGGGCGGCGGTGCGTTGATTCTGTCTCCGGAACCTGGGATGGCAACAGAGGAGGAATAACTGCTAGAGTCGAATCGGTCTGAGCCTCTTGGGTTCGAGTCTATAAAGATGCTGGGAAGACCCGCAGGCTCCCTGTATCTCGAAGGTGCCTCCATGATGTCGGCTTGTATCTGTGCAGTTGCCGGCTGAGGATTGACAATTCCAGCTGAAGCGGCGCCACTAAAGTTTATAGTGACGGAAGCACGGGCGTCATGAGTGATGGGCCGGGAATTATCTTGGGTTCTGATCGCGGTGGGATACGAGGAGAAGCGTCCGAGGCCAAGGCGGTCGTCTTGGAGGCCGTGGGTGGCGATGACAGTCGGGTTCGCCGTTGGTTGAGAACGGGGGCCAATGCAAGCCGAGAATGGCTGTCTCTGTCGGTCTCTCTCTTGCGTCACGAAGCGGTCGGGGCCGAGAGGAGACTGAAAAGGAAAGACAAGACTAGACGGAATCGAGCAAGGCGGCGCGAGTCGTAACGCAGAAGAGGGAAAAGGAGCAGACGTCGATGTGGTTGGACTGGATGTACAATTGTTGAGTCCGGCGGTCTAATCGCGGGACAAGCAGAAACAGATCAGGTCCGGACGGCGTCGAGGAATGCGAGGAGCAAATGTTGTCGGAGGAAGCAGAGTGGCCGGAGCTGGGGTGGGTAGAGTTTAGATCCGTAAGTCAGGTCAGGTCGTGGGGGGAGACGACAGCTGAAATAAGAGGCAATTGTGTGACGACGCCAGCTGCTGTATAAATAAAAATAAAATAAAATCGACACCCCCAGGTATGGCAAGGCGAAAGAGGCGACTAGTACTTATGAAAAAAAGGCGGGAGAACGAGTCGAGTGGAGGAGACGGACCTGGTCCAGGAGAGGAGAGGAGAAGGGGGTGGAGGGGGAGCCCAGGGAAGCTGTCGGCAGCGTCAAGCGAAGCTCCAGCGGCAGCAGTAGCGGTATTCGTAGCGGTAGCGGCCCAGGGACCCAAATGGAGGCACATCCAAACCTCCAACTTCGGCGTAACGTGGATTGGAGAAGAAGCCCCCCCGGGTGGTTCCTTTTTACCCCCAGCAGGGGCAGCAGCAGGGGATACTTGAGAGACAGAGGACAGCCCAGGCAGAGAGACACTGGACTGAGAGAGAGAGAGAGAGGGACTACCTGATACCCTAGCCTAGCACGCCTACTGTGTACGGATACACTAGGTCCTGAGGTATCCGTAGCCTAGGGCCTTACAGGGCAGGGCAGAAGAAAGAGGTGGAGAAGAGGAAGGCCGAATGGAAGGACAAGAAGGGAGGGGGGGGGTGTAATGGGAAGAGGTGACGGGAATGATGGGTGAACTTTGAAAGACTCAGGAGGGAGTGCAAAAGGGAGTGGTGATAAGGAAGGGGGGGTGAATCTCCGTCATGGACGGGTGGAGTAGCGGGACGCTTGTTCGGCGAGCAGCCTTAAGAGGAATAGGATGCGGATGGGGGACTGGCTAGTCAGACACCAGGGAACCACGAGCACGACGGTGGGCGTGTGGCTGTTTCTTGTAGCCCGTTGTGTTAGTGCCGTGCAAGCACATAAGCAGCAATGCAGCCCTGTCTGTCAACTTGTTGTCGCCCTTCCTTCTTGCTGCATCGGGGTGTGGGTAGTAGCCAAGGTAAGGCAGCCGGGCAAGGTGGTGTAGGCTAGTTATCCGTGGTGGTAATAGTTGTAGGGGAGGGCGTTGTTGCTCGGATCGAGCGTTCGAGGGGGAAGGGAAGAAGAGGAAGATGGCTGGGGACGGAGAGTCATGGGGGTGACGGAATGAGGTGCGTTGATGTTGATGCAACCAAGGCCACCCAGGCGATATAAGCATAGATAGGCCAAGGTGTATGTATATATGGTTGTGTACGCTATGTGTGTACGTGTGGTGTGTATGCCGTGCTGTTAGTAGCCGCGTGCGTGGGCTACTTTGGATGGGCAAGGTGAGGCGATGGATCTAGAAGGCTCAAAGAAGCATCCGAGTCGGGTCGAGTCGTTGGAGGAATCGGAGTGCGTCAAGGACGGCGGGGTGAGCAATGTGGTAATTTGTCTTCCTTGATGATATTCGGAGAGGTGTGGGTAATAAGACGGCGGTGATGGCGTGCGGCGTGCCGTGGAGTCTAGACGGCGTCCAGGTCGTGGTCTTTGCCCGGTGCTAGTCTCCTGATGTACGTATACGGCATTCGTAGGTAATCAATAGTAATATGCCTTGTGAGCCAAGGTAAACCGCAGGTCTGGGTCCGTCCGGATGAGGGCCAGGGAAGCGCAACAATGGAATGAAGAACAAAAGAAGTCGAGAATGGGATTGTGTCCGGGCGGTCTGGCAGATGTCGCGTCGGGACCTCGCTCGATTCAGCAGAGACCTGGAGGCACCGGAGTAAAAATCAGCACGGAACAAAAAAGAAAAAGAAAAAAAAAGAAAAAGGTACAAGGTGTAGGTGGGAGAAAGTAAGGTGATCAAGGTACCTTGCGTTCAGGTGAAGACCTAAGATACCTTGCCCCAAGGTATGAAGAAGGTTCCTTCGACGCTCGTTCCGTGCGCGAGATGGAATGGCGTGTGAAGAAAGAACAAGGCGGGAACGCAGCGCATTTGAGGTTTCGTGGTCCGACTGATGAGATGGAAGTTGGGAAATCATCCCGAAGCCGAGGACGATGACCAAGCAGTGTGAGGTGGGCTGTTGGAGCATTTGTTGCTACCTGCATGTTCCTGTTGGGCTAAGTCATAAGGTAAAGTACCTACCTCAGGTAGGCACGGTTTGGTAGGTACTTTCCATACGAATAGACACGAAGAATTACACCCATCATCTCAAGGAAAGAGGACAGGCAGAAGTGCTGCTGCCTCTTGCCCTCCTCATCATTGCATGTCCACCTTCCCTTTCTCCTTCCCAAACAAACGCAAAATCCCGTTGACGAAGCCACATGCATCACTGAGTGGGTAGGTAGGCGTGAGAAATATTCGCAAGGCAAGAACGATGCGCATCGATAATGGAAGAGGTACCAACACCAGGCGACGGGGCAGGTACCTACGATAGGTACCTTGGATACCTTGGGCGTAACTTCCCTTCAACAGGTAGGCACGTAGGTGAGGCCGGTACTCCGTACAGATACAGCAGGCACGAACCGAACATTCAGGTTGGCGCCAAGGCCAAGGCGGAACTGGAGGAGTCAGGAAAAGCAAGAGGGGAAATGATGCGAAACGGGACTTTGGTGGATTTGCATCTCGCTTTTGCATCTTGCAGCCTTTGGGCTTGACTTAAGAAAGCTACCTAAAACCAAGGTACATTTGAGTTGCCCGAGTTGTCAGCCTGGGTAAGCAATGAAAAGTAAGGTCGGGTTCGGATGGAGTCTGACGCTGAGCTCATGCTGATGCTGATGCTGATGCTGATGTCGGTGCAAAAGAGGAGATGGATGACCTTGCCGTGCTTGCCTCATTGTAAGGTAGGCGTAGAAGAAACAGACAAAGTGCATCTCTTTGGTGGCACAGGCATCTCGAGGCATCTGTGTGGAGCATCTCGCAACGGTCTCTTGGGCTCTTGAACGAGTGCTTAGATAAGCTGGGTGGGGTCTTCAAAAACCATACATAATACTCCATATCCGTACTTCATCTTGCCCATCCCACCCAAGAAAGGATGAACGGAGAGACTGATACCATAGAAAACGTATCCCAGGCTCACGTCTTGATTCCGTCCGTCTCTCCGTTGAAAAGAGGAATGTGCGTGCAGTGTGTGCTGCAAAGATGCAAGTCCAAGGCGACACAGGGCAGAGCAGGGCAGAAAGCGGGTTCCGTTGAATCATTCCATTTGCTGCGCGCTCCCGATGCGTCCCTCCCGCGGTCCAGTGTCGTGGCTGCAAAGATCAGGGGTATCCGATCAGGATTAGCGCGGGTCCACGACAACGGGGTAGCACCGCATCGTGGCCCGTGGGAGAGGAGAGAGAGCAGACAAGGCAGGCGCAAGGGACTCGCAGGGCAAGGACCAAGACTTTCTCGACCTTCCCGTGCTTCCTGCCATACGTATAGGTATCCCAAGTCCATCGAGATACAATCCTGGGCTTTCAGCGTGTTGACTCGTTTTTTTCTACAGCCAGAGAGTAGGTACATTACGCTTTTATATACTAATTAAGGGAGATATCTTCAGTCTTGTTTCCTCATATTTTCACACCACCCCCTCGTAACCCATCATACCTATGCTCGGGCACAGTGACACAGTTACGCTGCTTCATACAGCAAGACGGTTACACTTCTTCTTCTTCTTCTTCTTCCCCTTCATCTATTGCTGTCCATGTCGTGTCAACTTGTGACGGACGAATAGGAGGTCCTCCTATCCGCAGAGGCCTTCTCTGCATCTGTTCGGATAGAGCGTCAGTGTGTGGTATTTGGATGTAAAAAAGTCAGAGTCTGAATACAGGGGCTGCTCGGTAACGCAAGGAGGAAGAAGAACAAGAAGAAGATTGAATGGAAGACTGGAAGGCCATGAGGGCGTGGGGAAGAAACTTGGGAGGGGTGAAAAGGGTGAGCACTTGGAGGATCATGTTCTCTGCCCAGGCATACAGACCTAAGGGCGTGCACCAAGCGGATGAGTATTAGAGCCACACCCAGCGCTCAGCAGAGCGGGGGGGTGCCAGAGAGTGAGGGTGTGAAATTGAGCCCTGCTGGCCCTGCTGGCCCTGCGCCTGCCTCCCACACACGGGAAGGCAAGAGCGAGGGTGGGATTGGCACTGGGGAATGGGCCAAGGGGAATGGATCCCTCCGATACGTACCTTGCCTCGGACCTCAGGTTGAACCTAGCATAACCCAATGGGAGATGAATTGCAGAGTGTAGACTTGTACTCCCTAGAGACCACCCACTTCAGGCGGCACAGAGATACCCAGGTAAAAAGGTGCATTGGTCTGCAGCACACACACACACACTCAGGTCGCAAATGGCATCCGACAAATTTAGAAAGACAAGTACGCACTCACCACGTTTTCCCATCCATCTCAGTCAGCAGCTTCCTGTAAGGTTACTAAGGGACCAAGGGAGTAAGGTAGGTAACCAGCACCAATATATGGTACCACTGCCTGCCTCTGAGACACAGTAACAACGACGTACGAGGAAGGTGTGCAGAGGGAACCTCACCTTCCGCGATAGTAAACTTGGAATAGAAAGAGCGCACCATTGACTAAGAAAAGGTAGGCACGAAGGATACTTTGGTACATGAGGTGGGCATTTTGGGTAAGGTGCCTTGCCTTGCCTTGCAGAGTATTTTGTTGCATCATTCATCACTTCTTCTCGCCTTTGCCCACCATTGGGTTGCTGTTGCATTCACGTTACAACCCACCTACTGTGTACCGTCCCGACTATGTCGAAGTCGTCGTCGTCGTGCGGCATGTCAATGTCATTGCGCTGCAGCTCTTGTCCTCCCATCTTCTCGTCTCATTCGGCCAAACGACGGTCCAAGACCCCGAATGGCACCTCTCCACAACCTCACCTCTCTACCTTACACCGTTTGACCGCAGTCGACACCATTCGCACCGCACCGCATCGCACCGCACCATACTGCACCCTTTCACCTGCACCTCTGCCTTCTGCTATTGAGGCAAAGTCCAAGGTTCTAAGTTCCAACCCTTCGCCATGCTGCATCTCCGTTGTCAACTCCAGTCTCCCCTCCCATCCAGCCCAGTCCTGCCTCATCCTGGGACAACGCTTGTACGACCTTATCTCCCCGCCACAGACAGGCGGACAGATATACCAGACCGTCGTTCAAGCGCCGCCATCACGATGCTATCCTGGAGCTGCCCTGCCACTCTTCACCCCATGCACAGAAGCAAACACCCTCAACGATGGTAGGCCACCACTCATTAACGCAGACATTGGCATTGTTCCCAGCCATCACTTGTTGTCTACGGCACCGTTACCCATGCCACCAACTTCGACCTCACCGCATCTATCAATGACATTCTCGACTCGAACCCCACACAAGCATGGATCTCGAACCATTCACACACCTCCCTCCACCTACCCCACCGCCAATCACTGCCATCAGACATCAGGGCACTCCACGCCGTACCCATTCCATCTTCATAACCCTCAGGTACACTCACTACCTGACCTGACGTACCTACACTACCTACCGGTCTACAGAGTACGTTGCGAACGAATACACTCGAACTTCCGCCACTCTGTACGTCTGACAACTCAACGTAATCGGCTCCTTGTGGGGGTTTGTCCGGCATTGGCAAGAATCAATCCCAGCCGCCGTCGCCGCTGCCTGTTTTCGTCACCATCATCGATTGCAAATGTCGTTTTGACTCGCTATCCCGCCCTGTCCCTTGTTCAGAATTGCTATGCGCGCTTGCCGATCATCTGAACCCACCCACTTGATTCCTGCAGACTTCTGATCAAATGCGTCTGCGGAATAGGCTTGTTAATGTCTGTCGTAGCATAGGCAGGCACCTGCAAAACCGAGAGCTGTGGTGCCGCTATTTCCAAAGTCCCTCCCACTTTGGCCAAGCAGGCAGGGAGCCAAGGTGCCAATGCCGAACATTGGCGCCGTCTCGTCTAGCAAGCCTATGTGCACTTATTTGTTACAACGTCTCCACAGCGTGTTCACGAGCAGATATCGATAGGAGCCGCAACAATCTTTGGCAACGGACCAGCTCCCAAAACAACCGGTGGACAACCACAGAAGGACGATTCGGCTTACGTGCTGCCAAGCTCGCAATGGCAGTGCCTCGTTTCCAACGTACAGAAGCTTCGAAATAGCAAAAGGCACTTTCGTCGGTCCAAAGTCTCCGGCTTGATTTGGTTAACTCGACGATCTCCAAGTTGCGGCGTTGCAACTGCTGCTGCCTTTCGCATCTCGATCTAACCATATCGATCTTCCCGCAGCCGCTCAGTTTGCCAAGCAAGTCCGGCTATGTGAAAGATCTGAATTCCGTGGTTGCTTTTAGCACATTCAGTCTCGGGGTTCAGATGCGTGGTCAGCCTGCCAGGCCGGCCATTTCTTGACTGGGCTGTGCACGTCGGCACTTAGTCCTAACAGCCAATCATGGGGAGAAAAGCGTCGGGGATTTCGCCGCCAAACCCTCCTCTTATCCCGCCGTTGCGCTGCAGCCCACCGTTTGCATGTCATGTCAATCGGTCAGTCAAGGCCCGCTCGTCGCCCGACTGAGCACAGCACACCCATAGTGGTATCAACGCACCGCTTGGTCCAGGATGACTGTGTTTACGAGCGGATGTTTGGCCAATCTTGACGCTCAAAGTTGCGCCAGCCTTCTCCTCTTGCAACGACGACGACGACGACAGAGCATAACTTTGCCACCAAGGAACCGCTGTCTCACCATTGGTCTTCAACATGGGACAATCTTTTGGTTCAAGCCAGCTTTCGCTGACTTGCCTTGCGGAGGGCTTCTCCTGCCCTATACAGTTCTCGGTATCCCCCTGTCGGTTCGAGTTCTTCTTTCACGCTCCTTCTCTGATCAGGTGATGGGCATCACATCATTACTCTTCAAACTAGGACACACGAGAGTCCGTCAGAACGAGCTAAGACGGACGGATAGCTAGCCCGGACTTCGTACGGGCCTCGGTCTGCTCGGGCTGGAAGGGTGGCCCCTGTCGAGATCCGAAGTATTGGACGCTATTTGGATTTCACTCCCACTACTGCAAAGTAGGGCGTAAGGCCCCAAGTTTGACGAACCGCCAGCTGCCCCTTGTCGGCGACGCTGAAGCACCGACAGCATCAGTCTCTTCGGACCACATTCCATCTTTTGACTAAGCGCCTGCAGCCCCCCGTCGACGCATGGCTAAAGCCTTCGCACCTTCTACCGCCTTGGGTTCTGGCCATGGCTTTGAATACCAAGTGTTTGCAAGTTCCATTCCCCGTTCCGTCATTTAGGGCTGACAATGATGCAGTTTCCGAACCATGCTGGTACGGACACGCAGGTATTGTCAGACAAATTGCCCTGCCCTCCGTGAAAGGCAAGACCGCCGAGGGTCTGGGGAGCTAGCAGCATTTCCCACAAAGACTCTTAGGGCAGCCCGGCATGCCCACGTTTCGCGGGAGAATACTAGAGACCCTCTCAGGCAGACCAGCAGTATCTTCTCGCCCTACCAGGCTGGATAAGTTCCCCTTGCTGACGTCCATCTGCGTACCTGGAGGCTGGTGCACCTTACCCAGGATGCCGGGCAGCCCAGTGCGCCACCAAACTTCCTGGATGTTGGTTGGTTAAACTGAATGGTATGTCAACGAGATACGAAAGTGCTGACTTTGCGACAGATGGACAAGAAGAAACAATGTCGCCAAGATCCACATCTACTTGCTACTCAAGAGAAGAGACATGCTTTCCTAACAGACGGCCATTGAGGAAGTCCAGGCCTGAACGTTGGCTCCCTGCGCATTTCCTTCCTAGTCGTTCGTACGTACGGACACACACACCACCACCCTTTACAGAGCGGGGAGGGTCATGGTCCGGGTTTTCCAGCGAGGTTTACAGCGCGCGTTGTCATCCCCTTTCAGGGCCATCGGCAGGCCCAAGACACCGGCGGCCGCGAGCGATCTAGGCCATCCCCGTCCGAACCCAAGTACCAAATTCTGCGTACTGTTCACCTTACAACCCCACGCAGTTCGGCGTGTGATGACCAAATCTGGTGATTCTGGCAGGTCCTGTGTCTTCGTCAGACACTACGCCTATGCGTACAGATGTAGAAAGTGGTGATACCGAGTCTCGCCAACAAGACTGCGTTCACATTTGTCCGCAGATTACTTGCCCACGGCGCCTCGGGGCTCCCAAGACGCCATGATCTGGCAACGGGTGGCCTGCGGCATGCACTGGAACATGCCGTTCGCCAATCATGAAGAATGATTCCAAACTGGGAGACGCGTTATTAGAAGCCAGCGCCGCTTCCATTCAGCTCGCTTACAATCGTGCAGGCTAGCATACAACCAGACTCTGCCTACGGTCACATTTACGCTTTGCAAACCCAGCCACCCGTTGTCCGTCTCTGAAGGGAGGCGTCTGACCCTACTTGCTGCGGAGTCTTCTCCGAAGACGACGGCACCTGACATCACCTCACACTTCCACTAAAGAGAGATTTGAGTTTTCGGACTCTTGCGCTTTCACTAGCACTGACTGGCGCGAGACTTGTGGCAGCTGGCCATGTCAGTAAGCATGACAAAAGCTCATGCTCGCGCGCTCAAAGTCCTTTCTTCAGTGGCTTTCCTCAGTGCACCGCCTATCAACGACTGCGCCGCGCCCGTCGATAGTCTGTCGATGCCCAGGCAGAGTCGTGCTGGAGCGTTTCGGAACGAATCGAGTACGGATACCCCGCACCGTAGGCGGTTTGATATTGGAGCATCGGCAGGTGGGGGTAGAACGGGGCCAATCGGCTCCGATGAGGGTTTCCCTGCTGCCCTGCAGTTCAAATCTCCACGCTGCAGCTCCAATGCTCCATACCCTGATCATGTCAACCAACGATCCAACAACAACAAATGGTCAACGAGGTTGGACTCTGGAGACAGGACATGTCCCTAGCGCACGTGGTTGATGGTTCATCTGACGAGTCATGCAACAACTCGAACCCTCATCACATGAAAACCACGTACGAATGGATATTGCTGGAACATTCATCAGTCACTACAAGACAGCCCGGGCGCGCTTGCCAGTCCAAGGAGGACGAATACCTACTGGAAGAGTGCGGAATGTTGGTAAGAGCCCGTCCGCCTTTGGATAGACCAGGACGGTATGATGGCGGAATTCCAACCCCAAGCCACCTCCTCAGCCCTACACCGTTTGGGCCTCGCTGCCACGGCTGCTTAGCGGTGCCTCCAACTTGGCGTCTGTCTGTCGGTTTGTCGACAGGGGTATCCGTACTTCCTCGTGCCCCAAGCGGAGATAGGGCGTAGATCTTGCTCGCACGAGCCACTCCAACACGCTTGCGTGAGTTCCACATGTATCTGTACTGAATAGCCAGGACGCGGACAAGGCCGTGAACACGGATTTCACCAATGTCGAAGGAAAATACTGCAGCAACAGGACGTCCTGCATGCTCGTTGCCATTTGAGACTAGAGAGCAGGTTCTCGGAGTCTGGAAGGCATGATCGTATCTTCGATCAGGAACAAGACAGCTCCACTCATACTTTGTACGTCAAGAAAGCTTCGAAACGCTGACATTTCCAAAGCTTACCTCACGCCAATCTAGCACCCATGACGGCGAGGACGCCGATGGTCCGGTTACTTCTGTGCGTTCCGCTCTAGCAAAAGAGTCTAGTTCAAATCCAGGTCAACTTGCGAATGGCGTTCGCTGGGCAGAATGGATATACACCGTCAGTATCAAAGACGATAGCGCAGCCAGATTGACGCCGCATTACGGGGCTACCACGGACGTAACCAACACAATCTCGACGATTTGGAAACATCGCAAGGAACTATATTGACCTTCAGCAGGGCCTATACAATTTTGTCGTATCTCGAGCAACAACAACATCGAGTTGAAGGCTCGGTCTCTTGAGGTACACCAGCTGAATTGCACCACTGTGCCCGATGGGAGAGGACGCTCTTGCTTACGGACACGCGGCGCCTACATGTTCTCAATCAACATTACCACAGGCAATGCTCTGGAAGCACTTTGAAGGAATCTTGTGAACCCTCACTACGTGTTCGAAGTGATGAAGTCCGTACGGATACGGTTACTTACCCAATGCAAACAGGACCTATGGTCAATGGCAGGCACCCCGATTGAATAGCCTAAAAAGGACAACGACCCCAGACCAGCCATGTTGAGAACCCCAGAGCGTCGCCACTGAACCTCAAACCGTCGCTGCCAGACGCCAGTGCTTCATCGCCCCTCACAGACTGCACGTCACCAGAGCCCGCGACTCATATTGAGTATCTCCACATTTCCACCGAGAGCACCGAGATCATGGGTGGAAACGCACCTCCTAATCCTGACAGATTTCGAGGGCAGCAACGCTTACCCCATTGTCAGAACTCAGAATCCTACCAAGTATGAAGAATCAACAATGAGGCTCTTTGCTACTTCTGGTATCTCAACCTGAAGCGTGTCAATGCCTCCCTGTCTGTCTTTCACCTCCTCAAGGTGCTTCATTGGCCATTATCATGGTGTGACGCCGTTGGAGATGCAAGGCAAAGGGGCCGGACCTTAGACAGCTGGAATCCCATGCCTCGGCACATTCAGACCCAGGTCCTAGGGGCCTGTGGGTTCGGACGTCCTGATAAGCGGGGATTGTGGGAGAACTGGAGAATGGAAGAAGGCTGTGCAGCGCAGTGTAATGGAGCTCGATGGAGTCGCTCCGATGGGCAACAAGGTGATGGCTTCCGTATTGGAGAGACCCCCGAGACCCGTCATCCAATGGGCCGTCCAGGACCAGAGCGGCATGAAACATTGCCAGGCTCGCCAACCCACGCAGCCATCCTCGAAAGCCCAAGCTTTCATCTACTGCACTGCACACATAGCGTACGATTCGACCACCCAAAAGCTCCAGTCCATCTCCTATGATCTATTCTCCCATGAGTCCCATGGCACCTGTCTTGAATCAGTACCCGGACACCCGCGGGGGAGAGCCAGGCACACCCATTCACTCAATTGGCAACGCAATGGAGCTTGGCTTCGCCCTAGCCCTTAAGGCTGCAACTGCCGAAGCTTCGCAATTGGCGTTTAGGCGCATGACTTCCCTACGACTCAACGAAGGGGACCACGAGTTTCGTTCGCAAGGCATGAGCTACGGATACACTTCATTACGAACGAATACGTACGCTGAGATCGCCCATTTTAGTTTCACACCACAGGCCAAGCATGCCTTGATTAGCCTGGGGCTACCATGACAATTGAGAAGTCCATAGAACGTTGCGCCACAGCTTCTCAGCCACGGGGTGTGAATGCAGCCGCTAGCCTCTCCGCAAGGCTCGACGCCCGCTACACCTCAATACCTGGCATGGCGTTCGATTCGCGCTCGAGACGAGTCACTAGGTCTGCGATCAGCCGAGTCAGAACGACTATCCGTACGGAGTAGATAGATTTGGTGCCCAAAGCTCCTATACGGATAGATCATTGAGATGCAACGCACGCACACCGACCAAGCCTCACCTCGGTGAGAAGAAAGCTCATCTTTACTTGGTACCTCTGTGCCCCTTTTGACGCCACCCACGCCACCCACGCCTTCTCACCCACTTTCACTCTTTTGATGGAGAATTTCCGTTTTCTGCGCCCACCTTGTGTTGACACGACATCGAACACTCAACGGCCAGTTCTATTATGCGAATGAGGTTCGAGGCCCAACCGACACGCCTCCAAGCTTCCAAGTTTTGCAAGCCCAAGCCAAGGATCCAAGACAAGCAATGGGAATCAACAATCCCAATATCCGTAGGGCATCAGGATCCCCGCCGATCTTAGTTGTTGCCGAATAAGATGTTCTATTCTAGCGGCCAAGCTCAGATTGCTTAAGAGCACGTGCGGTGTCTACACCCTCCTCACCTTGAAGCGATCCAATGATGGAGAGGCAGGATTTCAGACGGACGATGCTACAGCCTACGGATGCTGAGCAAAAAGAAGGCGGCACCAGTGCTGTTTTTAGCAGCAGTCCATTATGTGAGTGGTGCAGCGCAAGCACTGTGGACTTGAGAAACGCAATGGGCTCTGGTGCTGGCTCGAGTCACAGTCCTATGGATACGGGCACATGGAATAGCGCGGGCATCTTAGTGCAACGATCGCCCCCACTGCCATGGACAGTAAGCAGGCTGCAGGAGGCTATTCCTCAGGAACAATTTCAAATTTGCCCTAGAACTGCGTTTCTCCTAACCTCAACTTGTGACAGAAGCCAATCAACAATGACTGCCTCTGGAGGTATCGGAGAAGCACTATTCTATTGCGGGGAAGAAACATAACAGGCACGCTGTCTATCCACACAACCATCACTCTCGGCCGTATTGTTCGCATCACGCTCACTAGGCGCCATAATCACTACATGCCATCAAAGGTTACAGCCATCTCAAAGTCAAGTTACCGAGCCAAGACCTCGATTCACCGTTTCGGCTAGCACCTGACTGAATACTCGAGTGATTTGTCACCCCTCTCGCCCCCGTGTCAAAGATGGAGCATCGTCTTCAAAAATTTGTACGTCCTGCGAATAACGAGTCAACACCGGTACATCGCTGGGAGCTGGGCGGAGCAGTAGCTAGCTGCCTTGGCCACAGTGCTTCGATCAAAGACAGGGCCGCGTGCCCAAGACAATTTTTTCTTCAACAACGATTACGTTCAAGGGCTGGTGACGACGGTGGCGCGGACTGCAAAGTGAGGGCTGGGCTGCAATCCTGTTGGTTCACGACTGCTGATTTCAGAGCAAGTTGTGTGGTCATTGTGCGGACGTCCCTTTAACCTCCGGACTGGTCCGTTCGCATGGCGGCTTAGGGTTACTGAAAGCCGGCATGCCCGCATCAGGTTGAAGAGCAACCCGGACGACATCTCGGAAGGTGGGTGCGGACGCGGAGGAGGGTCTTGCAGCAAAATCACCATCCTTCCGGAGAAGTTTCCAGGTCCCCATGTGATGACCTGGCTGCGTAGCGTTTGGGCAGCGTTCCCGATACGTTATGCCAGCTTCGTCATTCTCCTTTGACTGGCTGTCATTCCAGCGAGCATAACCATCGACAACAGGAAGGGACATTTCCGTGGGGCGGTGCTAAAGCTTAATTT